GGGCGGGGGTAGATCAAGACCCCGGAGGTCCCCATGACACAGACAAACAGATGTGTTGGGAGTGAGGCTGAGGGGAAACTGCAAACAAGGGTGTGGTGTGGTGGCTGCAAAGTGGGATTCCCGGGCTTCAGATGCAAGGAGCAGCCGTTGTGGACAAGACCCCGGGGGTGGCCATTTGAAGGGGCTGCCTCATGGAGAGTGGAGGTGGAGGCCACTGGGGTGTGGGATTCAAGGAGCCGTAAGGGCCGTATGTACACAGACATCCACAGGGTCACTGAACGTACCCAGGATGATATTTCAGTATGAGTGGGAAGAGTTACAATAGGGCCGTTTTAGAGAACGTGGAACAGTGAAGGCCTGAAGAAAGAGGCAAATGGAGAGGTGCCCCAAAGGTTGGATTCAATCTTCATTTCCACCAGATTTTGCTATTCAGTCAAAATTAGCTTTTTAACTTCCATTTTGGCCTTGCAAAGTAGAATAGCCCAATGTCTACCTCCTCATCATTTTTGGTATCCTTGAACTTGTATGTGACCAGTGAACACATGATTGCATAGGTTACGGTCATAGCTAATCAACCTCAACAATTTCAGAAGTTTTTTTAATGATTTTTTTTTTTTTTTTTTACTTATTAGAGAGAGAGAGAGAGCGTGTGAGCAGGGGGAAGGGCAGAGGGAGAGAGAAAATCCCAAGCAGACTCCATGCTGAGCCTGGAGCCCAACGTGGGGCTCAATCTTAGGACCCTGAGATCATGACCTGAGCAAGAGTCGGACACTTAACCTACTGAGCCACCCAGGTGCCCTCAACAATTTCAGAATTATGAACAGGCATGTCATTCTAATTTCGTAGTGACATTGAAATGGTCATTTTCAAAACATAAATAAGCATTCTAAAAGTAATTTGAAGTGAAAATTTTATGTGTTTTGTAGGTTGAAATTCTATCAGTCATTTGAAATGTAAATGTATACTTATTCTCACAAAAGTGAAATGCTGGGACGCCTGGGTGGCTCAGTCTCTTAAGCATCGGCCTTCAGCTCAGGCCATGATCCCAGGGTCCTGGAATCGAGCCCCGAATTCGGCTCCCCTGCTCAGCAGGGAGTCTACTTGTCCCTCTCCCTCTGCCCCTTCCCCTGCTTGTGCTCTCTCACTCTCAAATAAATTAAAATCTTTTTTTTAAAAGTGAAATGCTTCAATAATGAATGATCTTTATAGAAACATAATTTTCTGCACAGAAGTAAGAAGTATTAAAAAAAAGCATTAAGAAAAACGAGTTCCTCAAAACACATTTTGTTCTCACCAAACTTCCAAACAACAGCTTTTAAAAGGATGTTTTAAGAAGACAATTTTTTATAGTTTTGAATCTCTCAAGACTAAACCTTCAAACAAAAATGTTTATCGGGATGCCTGGCTGGCTTAGTCAGAGGAGCGTGTGACTGTTGATCTTGGGGTCATGAGTTCGAGGCTTTCATTGGGTATAGAGATTACCTACTTAAATAAAGACACTTTAAAGATGTTTATCAAAATGTTTGCCATAGAATGCCAATGATTTCTAGCGTTTGGGCATGAAAGAGTTTTGTGATATGGCCAAACTAAGAATCTTAATTACAAAGTTCTTTTTAGGAAAACCTGTTAACTGAAACCAGTTTTCCTGAGTTACAATCTGCGGTGCAGGAAAGCTAAGTGATATCATGAAATGTGTAAGTTGAAAGTGACATCTGATCTTGCAAATGGGAAGTCTATATATACAGTTTTAAGTAAGCTTTACACGCGCTGTGGGGTTTGAACTCGAGACCCTGAGATCAAGAGTCCCATGCTCTGCTGACTGAGTCAGCCAGGTGCCCCACAAATGTGAAGTATATTGACTGCTGGTACAGTCTAGCAGCCGATGGAGCAGAGAAAATGATCATTTCTGTATTGTAGCATCAAATGTCTAAGATTTGATTACTAATATTGCTAATAATAAAATTGTAATGATTCAATTACTTTGACTAAATTTCAGATACATTTTTCTAGCCCAGAATTTCATTTTATGATGGTGAGCTTCATCCTCTGGTCGTCATTGGCTAACTATCAATTTTAACACTCAAGCATTTCACCCAGATGTGTGTGTGTATTTATTTATTTATTTTTAAATATTTTATTTATTTGAGAGAGAGAGAGCACAAGCAGGGGGAAGGAGCAGAGGGAGAGGGAGAAGCAGGCTCCCCGCAGAGCAGGGAGCCCGATGCGGGGCTCGATCCCAGGACCCTGGGATCATGACCTGAGCCAAAGGCAGATGCTTAACGGACTGATCCACCCAGGCGCCCCCAAATGTGTATTTAGTTAGACAGCTCAGAGCCAGCTGCACAGTGCCACTTGCGGAAGGTAATGGGCAGGAGCCAGAAGCCAGCAGGGGCCCCCCCGGGCCCCCCAGGTCCATGCTTCACTGCCTTGCTTCTGGCAGGGGAGGCCAGGGAGGCAGCCCTCTCAGGAATGATAGACCAAAGGCACTAAGCGGGGCCTCTTGCTCTCTTGCAGCCTTGCATGCAGGCACATCGAAGTCGTCTTCTCTCCCCGCCTATGGCAGGACCACGCTGAGCCGGGTAAGGTCCCAGACCAGAGATCACAGACCATGAGGGAAGTGTGCCTTCGGGCACCTCGGAGGGACTGAGCTACTTGGGCACCCTGGGGGAGCAGTGCCGAGTTCTCCAGCCTCCCTCTGATCCCTTCATGTCCTTTCTAGCTACAGTCCACAGACTTCAGCCCCTCTGGGAGTGAGACTGGAAGCCCAGGTGAGAGGCAGGGCCGCCCAGTGCCAGGCGAGCGGGGAACGGGGCCTCAGCAGGCCCCAGGGCAGCCCGCGTCTGTGATGTGGGCAGGGCTGTGGCTGGAGGTCGGGGAGGCTGAGCTGGCAGGTTTGGAGGCCTGCTGACCTTAGAGCTGCCTCTGGACAATGATTCTTCTCTCCCACAGGCCTGCAGGTGAGTGCCTTCTGGAGGGGAACACGCTGAGCAGCAGAAGACATGGACGGGTGACTGGAGAGTTGGGGGGGTGGAGGGTGTGGGGCCACAGAGCTGCATGGTGAGGACACGAGAAGCCAGGGTAAGGCTGGGGAGGTCTCCCTGCCCCACTCTGGCTCACTGCGGCTTTGGTCTCCCCAGAACGGAGAGGGCCAGAGGGGGAGGATGGACCGGGGGAACTCCCTGCCCTGTGTGCTGGAGCAGAAGGTGAGGGGCAGGGGCAGAGCCAGGGGTGGGGGGCAGGGGACAGAACCATCTGCAGTGGGGGCGGGCCGGCCAGCCGGTGGGGAGAAGCCAGGGAAGTGAATGCACTAGGGGGTCAATGATGGGAGGGGCAGCAGGGAAGTTGGGGAGATGGTTGGCAAAGATGGCATGAGCCCCAGTGGCCCTTGCAGGCTGATAAGGGGCCCAGGGAGTTGAGGGGGTTATGGTGACAGGAGACTCTATGGTGACAGGAGACCCCCGCCCCTCTCCCTCAGATCTATCCCTACGAAATGCTCGTGGTGACCAACAAGGGGAGAACCAAGTTGCCTCCCGGTGTGGATCGGATGAGGCTTGAGGTATGCAGAGGAAATGTGTGGGGGAAACCTGGGGCCTCTTTGAGTGCTCCCTTGGTCACTTGGCCCCGCCCCGAGCCCCTGTCCCTAAGCTGCCTCCGTGTGTCCCCTTTCCAGAGACACCTGTCAGCCGAGGACTTCTCAAGGGTATTCTCCATGTCTCCTGAAGAGTTTAGCAAGCTGGCCCTGTGGAAGCGGAATGAACTCAAGAAAAAGGCTTCTCTCTTCTGACCACCCTTCCCATTCCATGACTGACGCTCTCCCCTGCTGCTTCAGGGCTCTGTAGCTGGGGCCACTAGACCCCACAGCATCATCTCTGCGGGGAGCAGGGTGGGGGGATGGAGGTAGAGTTGGCTCCATCCCCCAGGTGAGGGGGAGCCAAGACCTCTGCAGTGCTGGGGTTGTAAGACATGAACTTGCTTCCCCACAAGGAGCCAGGGGCCCCCTTCCCTCCTCCCTGGTCCTCACCGCACAGGGCAAACCCAGTCTGGAGCCCAGCACACACAGAGATAATGTTTGCACCCTCTCCCCACCCCACCCCCACAGGAAGGTCCCCACAAGAGAGTGACGAGAAAGGAAGGCAGCACTTAGTGGTCAGGCATGTTGGCAGTCTTGACCAATGGGTGGGTAGAACCCTCGGGCCTGCTAGGAAGAGGGCGAGGGTGGGAAGCCGCCAGGCAGGCAGGGAGAGCCGCAGGACTCTGTGTGCACCCAAGCACGCCTCCTCTCCTCACCCAGGACAGCTTCCCCTGCACCTGGGCCTCTGGCTTCCCTGACTCTTAGCAGGAGCAGCTTGAGCTCAGCCTCTAGCAATGAGGTCACCCTATCCTCCAGCTCACCATGTTCTCTCCTTGTGACTCCTAAGCTTCAAAGCCTCTTGCTCCGGCCCTGTGGCTTCCCTAGAAGCCTTGGCTTAGAGTGGAGATGTTGCAGAACCCTGGCCCACCATCAGCCTCCAGGCAAAGTCAGCTAGACTTCTAGCACCCAGGTCCTGGGTAGAACCCAGGCCTTCAGGCTCTCTTGGGACGGGATCAAGAGGCCAGGCTGAGTGTCCTGGCCACCAGGTCCTGCCCATACCCGTGCATCCCCACCATGCTGTCTAAAGAATGTAATTTATTGGGGCACCCCCCAGCTGCTTTCTCTCCTAACTCTCTGCCCTACCTTAATCACACTCCCAGCTTCTCTTCTCTACAGAAACATATGTGTATATAATTATATATATATTTTTGCCTGGGTCTGGGTTTTGTTCCTGCCCAGACCCTGGCATCCCTTTCCACTGTGTGTGTGTGATAATGCTGTGGGAGGGGGACTCCGCTTGGAATTAAAAGGTTGCATTGGGTCCCCAAATCTATTTGTTCTTTCTGAGCCACCAGATCTGGGTAAGAGGGAGAGGTGATGCCAGGCTGAGGGAAGGCTTGGGAGTGAGGGTTCAAATGGGGAGCCCCGAGGGTTGGAAGAGATGGAGACAGCAGACATACTGTCCTTCCCGCAAACCCGGGCCTCAGAAGCAGGGCTGGCCTGGCAGCGTCCCAGCTGCTGCCCTTCTTCAGGGGCCGTGCGAGCACAGAGGTATGGAGGAAGGGCAGAGAGTCATGCTCTGGAGACTGATACGAGAGCCAGCTGGGGGCACAGCCTGCTGCTTGTCCTCTGCTGAGGCCCTGAACGCTCAGCTTGGCAGTCGAGCTCATCAACATCTGACATGACTGCACCTGCCAGGGCCTGATACTCCCAGTCTGATGGGGGGCCAGACACACAGAGAAGGTCAACAGTGCATGAGTAGGCGGTCAGGCGACTACTGAAGAGCAGGCAGGGAAAACCAAGCACTGGAGTACCGACGGGTGAGGTCGAGTGGTCTGCGGGTTCAGTGGAGGCTGAGGGAGGAGCGGGTACCGTGGTCTTTGGTGACTTGGCAAGGCCTCCCAGGGGGGCGCAGACAGGGAACTGCAGCGTGGAGGTGGGTGGAGAGGGTGAAGAGCTGACCAGAAGATCAGAAGCAGGATATTGTGTGTGGGTGCCAGCGAAGGAGGGGCCGGCCTCACCTGGCGGACAGAACCCCGATGTGGGCGCACGATGAGGCGTGCTGTCAGAGGGACCCAGTGAGCTGGAGAGTGAGCCCAAGAACTGGGACCTGATTCAAGTCCGCTCCCCCGAGACGAGACGAGTTTCCACCCCCTTTGGCTGAAACAAAAGCAAAGTGGGTGAGAATCTCAAATGCGAACAATTACTTTAAGTTGTAGGAGTTCTGATACAACTGCAACATTGTTTTCTCCTTTCAAGAGCCTATGAATTCCGTAGCTCAGATCATTTTAATCCTTTCAGGGAAAGAGAAGGTTGCAGAAGAGACCCTTGATCATCTATCTCCTCCGAAGCCTGAAGCTACATGCAAGTAATGAGTGGAGACAGACCTGCAAGTTTCCCGACTGCTAACCCAGGACTTCCCCAGTATAAGCAGCTGCCACTCAAGGGGCAACAGGGAGGGCAGATGAAGAGGTGGAGAGAGAGAGAGAGAGAGAGAGAGAGAGAGAGAGAGAGAGAAACAGTTACCCAATTTTAGGTGTTCAGCCAGTGTTTGGAGGGCTTGCCCTGTTCCAGTACTTGGGATACAGTGGGGACAAGGCCAGCACCCCACGTCCACAGAGCTCCTGGGGTGCTGAGCAGCAAGGGGTGCTGAGGCAGTGTTTGGTCACAGGTCACTGGGAAGTGCTTTTGGTGGGGCAGAGTGCACACTGAGCCCGAAAGGATTTTAAGTTCTTGAGATTTGGAGAGACTTGAAATGGAGCTGGGTCCCTAAGACAAAACCTTAAGAGAATCTCTCAGTGCCTCTTCCCACAACACACACACACACACACACACACACACACACACACACACACACTCGTAGGCAGGCACATGCATGTTAACAGATGCAAAACCTTGGTGATCACTTAGTCCAAGGGTTTCCAAACCTTTTCAGTGGCAAACCTTTTTTAAAAAATTATATTTTATTATTAGTAATTGGAATACTTACAAGTTCAATTTTATAGCTAATTATGATGAAAATGAATGAGAACAAAGAAACTTTGATGACTAAAAAAATTTTAAGTCATTTGGCTGCACCGTATCAGGAAAATCCTGATCCACACAGATAAGTAGCTACAAAATTGTATGGCTTAAAAATGCACATAAATCCATTCACACTCCTCCCATGGAGCTAGTGCAGTGTCAATGTCCCCTCTTCTTGGAGCTGGGCTTAGTGACTTGCACATTTAAAAGTTCACCCAGCAATAGCCTTGGCCCTCATTTAAACTGACAGGAGGAATGGCTTTATTCAAAGGTCTTCTCCCAAATGAGCTAATCTGGCAGACTTTAAATATAGCTGACCCCTGAACAACATAGGGGTTGTTCGAAAACAAAGTCAGAAATCCGTATATAACTTCTGACTGCCCCCAAATTTAACTATTAGCCTGTTCACCAGAAGCCTTACTAACATAAACAGTCGATTAACATGTTTCTTACGTTATATGCGCTATATACTGTGTTCTTACAGTAAAGTAAGCTAGAGAAAATATTTTTTAAAGATTTATTTATTTATTTATTTGAGAGAGGGAGAGCACAAAAGCAGGGGGTGGAGCAGAGGGGAAGGGAAAGCAGACTCCCCGCTGAGCAGGGAGCCTGATGCAGGACTTGATCCCAGGACCCCAGGATCATGACCCGAGCTGAAGGCAAGACTTTTAACCGACTGAGCCACCCAGGTGCCCCGAGAAAAGAAAATATGAAGAAAATCATAAGAGAAAGGGGCACCTGGCTGGCTCAGTTGGAAGAGCATGTGACACTTGATCCCGGAGTTGGGAGTTTGAGCCCCAAGTTGGGTGGTTTACTAAATAATAATAATATTAAACTTTGAAAATTTTTTTAAAAAAGAAAGAAAATCATAAGGGAGAGAAAATACAGTTAGAGTACTGTACTGTATTTATCTAAAAACCGCATGTATCAGCGGACCTAAGCAGTCCAAACCCATGTTGTTCAAGGGTCACCTGTACATCGGTGGGCTCTAACGCTTTTGGCATATAACACATATAAATGTGTCCACTGACTGTTATTAAAACTTTTAAGATAAAAATTTAAAAGTGAAGCCAAATGAAAGGTTATGGATTCCTGATGCACTCCCACTATCACCTAGAGTTCTTTGGGGAAAGCGGATTTAATCCATGCAGCTGCTTCCCTGAGGAAGCAGGTCCAGAAAAGCACAGCGCAAGACTGGACTCAGGTCTCCAGCTCTCCCAGTCACCTCTCCCGACACAAAACAGGCTCCTTACGTTCTGGCCTAAAAGCCTCCTCCCGTTTCCCATAGGGCTCCTCACAGGGGCCCATTTGCAGATGGGTTATTTATTCTTTTTTTATTTTTTAAATTTTATTATGTTATGTTAATCACCATACATTACATCATTGGTTTTTAATGTGTTCCATGATTCATTGTTTGCCTATAACACCCAGTGCTCTATGCAGAACGTGCCCTCTTTAATACCCATCACCAGGCTAACCCATCCCCTCCCCTCTAGAACCCTGTTTGTTTCTCAGTGTCCATAGTCTCTCATGGTTCATCTCCCCCTCTGATTTCCCCCCTTCATTTTTCCCTTCCTGCTATCTTCTTCTTTTTTTTTTTTTAACATATAATGTATTATTTGTTTCAGAGGTACAGGTCTGTGATTCAATAGTCTTACACAATTCACAGCACTCACCATAGTACTCACCCTCCCCAATGTCTATCACCCAGCCACCCCATCCCTCCCACCCCCCACCACTCCAGCAACCCTGAGTTTGTTTCCTGAGATTAAGAATTCCTCATATCAGTGAGGTCATATGATACATGTCTTTGTCTGATTGACTTACTTCGCTCAGCATAATACCCTCCAGTTCCATCCATGTCGTTGCAAATGGCACAGATGGGCTATTTAAAAACGTTTATTTTGGGGGCGCCTGGGTGGCTCAGTCCTTAAGTGTCTGCCTTCGGCTCAGGTCATGATCCCGGGGTCCTGGGATCGAGCCCCACATCAGGCTCCCTGCTCTGCGGGAAGCCTGCTTCTCCCTCTCCCACTCCCCCTGCTTGTGTTCCTTCTCTCACTGTCTCTCTCTGTCAAATAAATAATCTTAAAAAAAAGGGGGGGAGACCCTCCTTTAAAAATAAATAAATAAATAAACAAACAAACAAACAAACATTTATTTTTCCCAAGCAGCTGTCAGAGAACTGAGATCCAAATGCCAGCCATGTCTGGGCTGGGCAGAATGCTGCCCCCACCCCTGGTGACTTAGGCCAGACTCCAGGCTCCACTCAGGGTACACAGCCACCTCTGGAGCTGTCTGCCTCTCCTGGGCCTCAGCCTGACCAGTGAATGGGCCCCAAAGGGCAGGCCTAGTGCAATGAAACGCCAAGACCCCACAGCTCTAAATCCTACAGCTTTGTGGTAGAGGCTACCCTCCTCTCTAGTGCCGCCCTTAATCCCTGACCCTCTCATCATATGTCAGTGGTCAGCAGAAATACATTTTGCACAGATACCAGCCCTCTCCTCAGGAAGATCTTTTCATTCCCGAGGGTTGGGAGTGTAGTAGTGGAGGCGGGAGGGGAAACTGGCTTTAAACTGGTGGGGCTGTCGCTCTGGACATTCCAGGAAATGTCCTGGACATTCCTGCTCTCCTTAAGGGTTCTGCCTATGTAATTCTTGGGCCCAACTTTCCAGGGCAGGAGGCCTCTTGACACAGGAGACCCACCTTCTGTTTCTTTCCTTGGCGCCTGTTAAGACAGCCCAGCCAGTTGTTACTTCCTCTGCAGGACATCTGGACCAGTGCTGTATCCTCGTAAAAGAACAAGTGACAAGTGAAATTAATTTTCATCATATACTTCATTTAACCCAATATATCTAATATGTTACAATTTCAACAGGTCATCAACATACACCATGAGTGAGCTATTTTACATTTTCTTTTTGTAGTAAGTCTTCAGAACCCGGGGTATACTTTACCCTCCGCACCTCTCAATTTGGACTAGCACGTTTGTTTCAGTGCTCCACAGCCACGTGCCGACAGGGGCTACTGTGTTGGACAGGGGGTGGGGGTAGGGGCGTCTAGAGACTTACAGGACCCACAAACCTTCCCATTCCTCATGGAAGAAACTCCCGGTCCCACTCGTCCTTCTCGCTGCCACCTGGCTTCCCCCACGGGGCCGCGTGAACCTGCTTCTCCGCGGCGCCCCTCCGCTGCGGCGCCAGGCTCCAGGGCCACCCCCTTCCCCCCCCCCCCACCCCACCGCCCCGCTCTCCCGGGCCGGGCCACGTCGGCGCCCGGCCTCCTTCCGCGGGCCTGGCCGGGCCGGGGCTGGGGGCGGTGGGCGGCCGGTGCGCCCAGCGGGCCGAGGCGGGGCGGACCAGGCGGGGCCCCGCCCCCTCGCCGCGCCTCCGGGGCCGCCCTCCGCCCGAGAGCTTCGCCGCCGCCGCCGCCGCCGCCACCGCCACCGCCGCCCGGGAGCGGAGCCGGGTCGGGCCGCCAACATGCTGAGCCGGCTCGGGGCGCTGCTGCAGGAGGCCGTGGGGGCGGTGAGGCCGGGGAGGCCCGGGCGCGCGGGGCTAGGCCGGAAGGGCGGGCGCGGGGCCGGAGGAGGAGCCGGCGGGCGGGCGGAGGGCGCGGGTCCGCCTCGGGGAAGGGACCCCCAACCAGGCCGCGGCGCCCTTTCCCGGGCCTCCCCTCTCCCCCGTCGCGACCCTCCCGCGCAGCCCTTCCTGCTTCGCGTGGCCTCTTTCCCTGTCGCGCCTAATCCCAGCTCCTCTCCAGATCGCCCCAGCCCCTCACCCTTTTCCCCAAATGGCTTCCTGTTTATTTTTCCTGCTCCCCGTTCCCAGTTCGCTCCCAGTTCCCAAACTGTGCTGTGCTAGAGGGCTCCCTTGTCACCCAGTAGTTTCCTCCCCAAGGTCCCTTCCCCAGGCCCTTTGCCTTCCTCCCCCGCGCCCCCCCCCCCCCGCTCCTCCCTTTCTGGTCACCTGGGCTGGAAAAATAGATGCCCCTTGCCTTCCTTCTGAGCCCCCAGGCAACCCCAAGACCTCCGTCAGGCGCGTGTGCTCTCAGCCTCCACTTGCGAAGTTCCGGCCCAGATTGGCCACGTCTCCAGGAAGCGTGTATATATACAGTCCAGGGGTGGGTGGGCGCCTGGCCCAGGGAACAGCCTGCTGCGGGGCACAGGGCGGTATCCAGAATGTTATCTCACACCACACTGGCCCTGGCCAGAGTGACCTTGAGTCAGGAGAGGCCAGCAGTGGGGGGACTTGTGGCGGCCATATGAGGGAGAGTTTGTGTGTTTGCCATTATCTGTCGGGTTGAAGGCTGGTCAGAGGCCGGTTCACTTCATTCAGCAAGATAAAAGTGCAGTTTAGATAGACTAGGCCGAATGCCTTCAGTTTAAAGTAACCTTGCCAAGAATCTGTCTGTAAAGTTAACAGTTCTTTTGTCCCAAAGTAGAGGTCTCTTCTAATTGATCAATTTAGTATATTCTGTCCGATTTGCTCAGAAGAAACAACCTGGTGTCCCACCTCCTTTCTCCCCCACACCCCCCATCCAAAACAGAGCTTATTAAAAATGAGAACAGTCTCAGCCTTATCAAACCTGTGAAGAAAGTGAAAAGCCCCTCCGACCTCTCCTTCACCTGTCCGCAGCCCTGCCCTTCCTAATGTCCAGGGCAGCCCACCTCGGGAGGGGTCCAGAATGGTCTTGCCTTCCCTTCTTCCTTGTCTCCAATCAAAACAGCTGTCATCTTAGAAAGTGGTGTGACAAACCACTTCATACCTCTCGGGAAAGCTCCATACACAGGGTGGGAGAGGGGCCAGAGAGAGCCTTAGTCCTGAGAAGTGACTTTCTAATCCTTCCAGTGCAGGCATTTCAGCATCAGGGGCTGGAGGAGGGATTGGTGGTCAAGGGACGTATTTTTAGGCAGGTGATTTTTGGCCCGTGAGTATCAGATACAGAGACAATGCCGTGGAAGTTTGGCTGGCCCCGTGTAACTGTCAGGAGAGAAGGGAGCCCCTCTTCCCCCCCCCACCCCCACATGGGGAGGCATAGGTCTTCGCCTGCCTGGGTCACCAGGTTAAGACCCCAGCAGGTTGCTTGACTCCTTGTTAAGGAGGAAGAGTGCTCCTTCCTGCCCTCTTCTGACAAAATAGAATAGCAATCGTTAAGGGTTCTTTTAGAAAATATTCTTTATTATTATTAACAAAGATAATGAAGATTAGTAATTTAATAATTTCTCTTTAAAATAAATCATTTGGTACAATTTCTTTGGAGTTATAAGAGCTAATAGTAGATTGAGGTGAAGATGATCCCCTTGCTTTGTCCTGACAGTCTGTTTTGTTACAGTCTGTTTGCTACAGTCTGCTGCCGTCTGTGTTCTCCCGGGTCTCCTGTTCTTACTGGGTTGTTCGTTTTCAGCATAAGCCCAGCTTAAGGGTTCAGGAGACTACAAATGAATTTTGAGGCTAGATGAGAGCCCATCGCCGCGCTGGAAGATGACTTATAGTGCCGGTCAAGGGTCGGAGGGCTTTCCTGAGACAAGGGACTATGGAAAGGATGTCTAAAGGAGTTTGCTGAGATGTTTAGTAAATACGAATGACTAGTCACTCGTGGCAGAGCTCTTTAGGGGCAGGCAGAGCTAGAAAACACAGAGCCCGAGCCGTCAGGGAGCTCACAGTCTAGTAGAAGAGAAGACTCTAATCCCACAATCACAGTCTCACACAGGACGTGGTAAGAGACAGTGGCCCCATGTGGACGGTGTGCTTGGAATGACCATGGGAGGTACTGCTCCAGTAAGGGTCATGCCTCCCCCCGCCCCAACCGTGAAAGAAGACAAGGTTGCCTGGGCAGCCAAGGGTTGAGGGGGAGAGTTTCAGGGCCTCTGATTCAGTGTTACTGCTTCTTCCTCCTGTCTTCATGGCCTTCTAACCGTTCTTCCTGCCTTCATCATCACAGAACTGTCAGCGGACTCTGCCTGAAACACTGCTTAGCAGACGTCCTTGACCTACCTCTGACTGCCTACAAAAACAATCCTGACCTGGTGACTGGATGTTCAGGGGCCCATACGCTCATCAATCCATCCTTGTCCCAGACACACTTTGCAGAGTTCCTTCCGCAGGAAACGTCTTTCCTTCATCTCTAATTATTGACTTGGGACCGCATTCGTCACGTTTTAGTTTCAGGGTAACCTCAGTAAAGCCTTCTCTGTTCCAGTGCTCTTTTCCCATGGGCCATTTTCTACCTGTCCCGCGTTCTCACACGACTTCCTACAGCTGAGTTACTCGGGGCGGTTTTCATATTCTGTTCTCCCTGGCACTGGGTCTCCGGCAGCCTTGTATTGCTTACAGCATCTGGCATGGTGTCTTGTACACAGGAGGCACTCAAAAGATACTTCCTGAACGAATCAGGAGTAGACACTCAGTTCTGTGCTGCGGTGAAGTGTGAGGTTAGATGCATCCAGGAACTCTGGTGAGGCCTTTGCGGAACCGGTGGCCCTTAGCTGGACCTCACTGGTGACTGTTCGGATCTAGGCAAGTGTAGGGGGACACAGGGCCTCCTGGACAGAGGAGTGGCCTGAGCAAAGATGGAGAGGTAGAAATGAGCACCTGTGGTGAGGGACTATTTAATTATGCATTTTTCTCCTGTATACATTTACTCTGCAAGGAAAGAGAGTGACAGCTCTTTTTTTGAGTTTTCAGGGAAGCAGTTGTTATCGGTGTGGAGATGAAGAGATAACTTCTGGAAGAGGGGCAGGTTTGAGGCTTGCTCGTAGCAGAAATAGAATTCCCTGGGGCTGGAGGCTGTGCATCCCCAGCTCCTCTAGCAACCTGCAGCCTTGGACAAAAGATGCAAGCATGTTATATATAAGTAAGGCACCTCATGAATCTTATGCTAACTACCTATCTGGCTGAACGAAGCCTTTCGATGACCTTGAACACAGATTTGTGCAGACTCTTGGACTGAGAGGGGCCCAAAAGCTTTGTCTTTGCCATGTTTTCCATGCGTATCATTTTGATTTTGTTGTTTTGGGGGCGCTCTCCTGTTTTCCTCTGTATCCCTCTACAGTAGCGTAACCACGTTGAGACGAACTGTTTCTGTGTCTTAGTCCCCCCGACCAACGTTCTTAGATCTTCCGGGCCAGGGACCGTGGAGTCATGACACATAGCAGGAGCACAGCATCTCCAGGAGAGAGGGGGGCTGGGAGAGGTGCCAAGAGATTGTCCTGGAGAAAACGCCTTCGTGTTCCCTTTGAGAACCTGGATCACGGTGCCTCCTCCAGGGCCTGGCACTGACCCGACCCCTGGTAGACGGTTGACTGTCCACTGTGATGAGTGACAGTGGCAGCCCCTCACGCTGAGTCTGCTCTCTCCACAGCGGGAGCCCAGCATTGACCTGCTGGAGGCCTTCGTGGAGCACTGGAAGGGCATCACGCACTACTACATTGAAAGTACAGGTGGGAGCCCTGCAGCCAGTGGGGAGGAAGGTGCGGGCCGCGTCCCCCTGCCTGCAGAGATGCATGTGGCCTGGAGAAGGTGACGAGGGCTGCACAGGGGTTGAGAGTGGGGAGCTGGCCCCACCCTGACCTTTTGGGAGAGGAACTGTGTGAGGTAGGAGTGGGGACATCATTGAGCTGACTGCAAGGCAGAGGCTGAGCTCCACTTGCCCCTCGCTTCCAGCGAGGCAGAGTGTCCAGGCCTGCGGTCCTCAGGGCCTGTGTCCAGGGCTTACTGATTAAAAGAAACGGAATCAAGTCCTCCTTTCCCTGAGCTAACTGTGAGGGCATTTCCCTTATAGAAATCTAAGGCAGGGAGATGACAAAAGCCAATGCCCATAACGTGCCTGGGTCCGTGTCCCCCAGCTGACACCCCAGACAGCAAGGCTTTGGGTAATCTGGGCCCAGCAGGATGACTCCCTAAGGGGTGGCATCGGATTTGCTGCTTTGTAGTCAGTATGTTGGTATTGGTGGATACACATTGGTTGCCAGGTAACGCTGTCTGGCATCCCCGGCTTTCTACCTCCTGGTTCAGACTGGGGTTTGATTCCAGTCTACCCCTTTCCTGAAGACTTGATTTCCAGCCTGGGCCAGCCCAAAAAATTAAAAAGCAGTCTTTGGACACTTTGAGGGACCCCCCTAAATGTCCTTTTAGACCAGGTTTCCCAATCTTGGCATGGTTGACATTTGGGCTTGACCATTCTTTGTGGTGGAGGGCTTCTGGGGGCGCATGGTGGGGTGTTTAGCAGCAGCTCTGGTTTCCACTGTCCCCATTGCAATAAGTATAAATGTCTCTCCAAACATTGCCAAATGTTCCCAGGGGCAGAATTACCCCCAGTGGAGAACAATGGCTCTAAACTGAAGATCTTTTTTTCCTTTTTAGAGGTAATAATTGATGTTAACATTATATCATGTAACTTGGGTGTACAACATATTGATTCAATATATGGATATATTGTGAAGTGATGACCACAATAAGTCTAGTTAACATCCATCACCCTAACTAGTTGCCAATTTTTTCTTGTGATGACAACTTTTAAGATCTACTCTTAGCAATTTTCAGATATGCAATACATTAACTATAATCACTGTGCTGTATATAACATTCTCAGGACTTATTTATTTATGAGTTTTTATTTTTGTTTTTGTTTTGTTTTTTGTTTTTCAGAGAGGGAGGGGGGCAGAGGGAGAGGGAAAGAGAGAGAATCTTAAGCAGGCTCCACACCCAGCACAGAGCCTGATGTGGGGCTTGCTCTCACAACTCTGAGATCATGACCTGAGTCGAAATCAAGAATCAGACACCCAACTGACTGAGCCACCCAGGCGCCCCGGGACTTACCTGCTTCTTACTTACTTACTTATTAAGATTTTATTTATTTATTTGACAGAGAGAGACACAGAGAGAGAGAGAACACAAGCAGGGGGAGCAGCAGAGGGAGAAGCAGGCTTCCCGCAGAGCAGGGAGCCCGATGTGGGGCTCCATCCCAGGACCCTGGGATCATGACCTGAGCTGAAGGCAGACGCTTAACCAACTGAGCCACCCAGGAGCCCCAGGACTTATTTATTTTTTAATTGGAAGTTTGTACCTTTTAGACTGAAGGTCTCTTGACAGAGAGCCCCAATCTACCAGGATGTAGGAAAAGATCCAGAACTGACTTCAGGTCCACCTGGGGCTTCACCTGAACCCAATCCATTAATTTCCAGAGCAGTCCCTAGACCATAGGCACAGGGATGGGTGAGGTGAACTGAGCTGTGTTGTTCAAAAACCAGTGCTTTCAAAATAAGCGAGAGGGTGCCCCAAGGCAGTCCCAAAGCCCCAAAACTTGCTTTATGCAAACTCTGTCTGAGACTCTCACCAAGAAAGCCCCAGCTTCTCCATCAAGACCTTTGCACAGCGGAGCAGTGTTGCCTCCGAACTCATGGTCATGCATGGATTTTTTTTCTCCTGTGTAAAAAAAATTGTTTCTCCTTTCTGCCTCCTGTGAGTGTAAAAAGGGACCGGAGGTTTACCTCTCCGGAAGCTGCTCCAAGACAGCTTATAAATTCTATGACAGAGACCCCTGAGCCCCCGGCTTCTTGTTCGGGCCCAGAGCTGACCTGCAGCCTGAGCAGTGTATCCTCCTGGACACCCCCGGGGTTGGGAGAAAAAATGATGCCGCCTCCCTCTGATAAAGCGCTAGAGTATGCACACATTCCCAGTCAGAGGGCTGTATCCTGGGCCTCATCCAAAAGGTCTTTTGTCTTTTTAAATATAGAGGCACCAACTGTAAATTTCCACTTCCTCTGGTCTTCGTTCGAAGCCAACTGTGAGCCGGGCCTTACTCCAGGTGTACCCTCAGTCTCCCTCCACCCCCTGGGCCCCAGGGGCTTGACCTCATCACCCCACTCACCCTTGTTTCCTGAATCTCATTAGATGAAAACACCCCCGCCAAGAAAACGGATATTCCCTGGCGGCTGAAGCAGATGCTGGACATCCTGGTGTATGAGGAGAGGCAGCAGACGGCAGCTGGTGAGGCCGGGCCCTGTCTGGAATACTTGCTGCAACACAAAATCCTGGAGACGCTGTGCACACTGGGCAAGGCCGAGGTGGGCACACCCCGGGGGGCCCCTGCGGCCCTGGCTCGTCCCTCTGTGTTCCTGTCCCGTTGTGTCATGGAAACGCTGCTGTTATTCAGTCAGGGTTCATTCAGCCAAAGGTGTGCTAAGAACCAGCCGTGTGCCAGGCAGGGGCCTCAGTGTGGCAGACCCAGCAGCTGTTAAAACAGATGAAAGTTCTAGTCAGAGAGAGTGGGTCACCAGGGGGGCCCACACGGAGTCTGTCCAACCATGACAGGTCATGGAGAACGGTGAAGTGGGACGGGGACCCAACAGTGTGGGCAGGCCGGTTTCAAAGGGTGCAGCTCATTTGATTGCAGTCCATGTGATGGTGCTTCACAAAGCTGGCATTTCTTACAAGTCGGAGGTTTGGGGCAACGGTGCACTGAGTCAGTTGGCGCCATGTTTCCAGCAGCATCTGGTCACTTCATGTCTCTGTGTCACATTTTGGTAATTCTTGGTAATATTTCCAACTTAGTGATGATATTCCTTACGGTGATAGGTGCTCAATGATCTTTGATGTTGCTATTATAATTGGGGGTACCACAAGTAATGCCCCTGTAAGACAGCTCCACTGACTAGCCCGTCCCCATCTTTCTCCCTCTCCTTGGGCCTCCCTACTCCCCGAGACACTACAATATTGAAATTCGGCCAACTAATACCCCTCCAGTGGCCTCCAAGTGTTCAAGTGAGGAAGAGTCACGCGTCTCTCACTTTAAATCAAAAGCTAGAAATGATTAAGCTCAGTGAGGAAAGCTGAGATGGGCCAAAAGCAGGCCACACAACAGTCAGCCAGGTCGAGAACGCAAAGGAAAAGTTGGAGGAAATTCAAAGTGCCTTCCGGTGAACGCGCGAACGGTAAGAAAGCAGAACAGCCTTATTGCGGCCGCGCCGAAGGTCTGACGGGTCGGCCTAGAAGAGCAAACGAGCCACGACGGTCCGTTAAGCCAAAGCCTGACCCTGAGCAAGGCGCTGACTCGCTTCGGTCGGGCGAAGGCTGAGAGCGGTGAGGAAGCTGCCCGGGGAACGTCGGAAGCTGGCAGAGGCGGGTCCGTGAGGTGTAAGGGAAGACGCCGCCCCTGTAACATCAGGGTGCGAGGGGGGGCGGCCAGCGCTGGGGTAGACGCTGCAGCCAGTTCTCCGGGAGACCCAGCGGGATAAGTGATGAAGGAGGCTACGCGGAGCAACAGGTTTCCAATGCGGATGAAACGGCCTCTATTGGCAGAAGACGCCAGCTAGGACCCTCAGCGGCCGGGGGGGCGTCAGTGCCCGGCTGCAAAGCTTCCAAGGGTGGGCTGACTCTCTTGTCAGGGGCTGAGGCGGCTGGTGACTTGAAGTCGAGGCCAGTGCTCATTGACCATTCTGAAAATCCCAGGACCCTGGAGAGTTGTGTTCGTGCCACTCGGCCTGTGCTCTGTGAACGAACAACAAAGCCTGGGTGACAGCACTTCGGAGCACAACGTGGTTTCCTGAATATTTTGAGTGCACCGTTGAGACCTAGCACTCCGAAAAAAAATATTCTTGTCAAACCACGACTGCTCACTGACCATGCACCTGGTCACGCACGAGCTCTGATGGAGAAGTAGAACGAGACGATGGTTGTTTCCTGCTGATACGGCAGCCATGCTGCAGCCCGGCGAGCAAGGAGGCATTTGACCCTCAAGTCTTCTTATTTAGGAAATACATTTTGTAAGGTGGTGGCTGCCATAGATAGCGATTCTTCTGATGGATTTGGGCAAAGCAAATTGAAAAACCTTCTGGCAAAGATTCGCCATTCTAGGTGCCACGGAGAACATACGTGATTCATGGGAAGACGTCAAAATATCAACATGAACAGGAGCTTGGAAGAATTCAGTCGCAGCCTTCATGGATGACTCTGGCGGGTTCAAGACTTCAGAGGAGGAAGTGTGGGGGAGAGAGCGAGAGAACTAGAACAGGAAGTGGAGCCTGAGGATGGGACTGAATGGCCACCATCTCGTGATCAAACTAACAGATGAGGAGTTGCCGCTCATGGATGAGCAAAGAAAGGGGTTGCTTGAGATGGAATCTACTCCTGGGGAAGACGCTGGGAAGATTGTTGAGATGGTAACAGATTTAGAGCATTGCATAAACTTAGTTGATAGAGAAGCGGCAGGTTGGAGAGGACTGACTCCGATTTTGCAAGAAGTTCTACTGTGAGTAAAATGCTATCGAACAGCATCGCGGTGATACAGAGAAATCGGAAGAGTCGATCAACACGGCCAACGTCACTGTTGTCTTATTTTAAGAAGTTGCCACAGCCATTCCCACCTTCAGCAACCACCACCCTGATCAGTCAGCAGCCACCAACAGCGAGGCAAGAGCCTCCACCGGCAAGAAGATTACAATTCGCTGAAAGCTCAGATGATGGTTGGCATTTTTTAGCAATATTATAAAATTAAGGTTATGTACATTGCTTTTTAGACAACGCAATTGCACAATTAATAGACTATAGTATAACATAAACATAGCTTTTGTATTCACTGGGAAGCCAAAAAATTAATTTGACTTGCTTTATTGCGATATTCACTTATCGCAGTATTTGCTTTATTGTGGTGGTCTGGAAGCAAACCTGTCTGTCTCGGAGGCGTGTCTGTAGTGAGGGAAGGAGGCTTGCAGAAAATGTGCTCTCTGAGCAGTGACCGAGGGAGGATGGTTGCTGTGGCCCCGGGGGCGGGGAGCATTCCAGGCAGTGGGCAGGCTCCATCTTCTGACGGGCACTCTGTTCCTTGACACTCAGTACCCCCCAGGGATGCGACAGCAGGTATTCCAGTTCTTCAGCAAGGTTCTGGCCCAGGTGCAGCACCCCCTCCTGCATTACCTCAACGTCCACAGGCCTGTGCAGGTGAGGGGCCAGGAGAACAAGGGGTGTCTGAGGGTCAAGCCCTCTGTCTTCTCTGCTACCCCGTTCTTCTCTGTTTCTAATTTGCTTCCCTTCTAGAAGCTTCTCCGACTTGGTGGGACAGTTCCTGGATCCCAAACAGAAAAGGAGGAGGTACAGTTCACCACCGTCCTCTGCTCCAAGATCCAACAGGACCCAGCCCTGCTCACCTACATCCTGGAAGTGAGCACCTCTGTGAGGGACAGGAGCGGGAGGGCCCTGACCCCAGGGCAGGCCCCTAAGGCCCTTCTGAGGAAGCAGAGGGTGGAGCAGGTACTCAGGCACCTAGGCGGCTTTCCCTCCAGCCCTATGCCGAGGCCCTGACAGCCAACACATCCTGCATTCCCAAGGGGGCATTGTGGGGAATAGTCTGCACCATGACATGGCTTCACCCGACCTTCTTTGCAGGGTAAAAAGATTGTCAGTAGGAAGAAGTCATCCAAAGAACCCACCACCCTGCCTAGAGAGGCAGCCAGCATCCAAGACAAGGACCACCCCCGCAGCAAGGCTCCTGACACGAGTCCCTGCGGGGCCCGGGCCTTGAGCACGCAGCTGCCTGCCGAGAGGGAGGAGGAGCCGGATGGAGCGGCTGGGGAAAGCAACCTCATCACCTCCCTGATCGGGTTGTGCAAGAGCAAGGTGCTTGCTGCCGAGACAGAGTGGGCAGGGATGAGGAGGGCAAATTGCTGGGAGGGGATCTGGGGGTTCAGATGTATGTCCCTGAAGTCATACCCCTATCCCCTAGAAAGGTCGGGTGGCTCTGAAGGCCCAGGAGAACCTGCTGCTCCTGGTAAGTGTGGCTTCGCCTGCAGCCGCCACCTACCTGGTACAGAGCAGTCCTTGTTGCCCTGCTGTGGTCGAGCACCTCTGCCACCTGTACCAGTCCGTGCCCCCCTTCCTGGACCCGGCCGACATTGCTGCGCTAGAGGGCGTCAGCTGGAGGTAGGCGCTTGACCCAGGAAGCTGGCCTACATCTTCAGTGGCGAGAAGCCCTCCCTGTCCTCTGGTTTTCTAGGAGGGATGGGGACCCCTGCTGGCCACCCTCTTGCTGAGGGCACAGCCTATCCTCAAGGGCTTTCCCCCCTCGCTCCCCCGCCCCGCACCAGCAACAGAGGTTGCAGAGAGAAGGGGCCCAGATTCTGGAACATCCCTGAGGCAGGCCTCACAGCTCCTCCCTTGCTCCCCCTCAGGTTGCCCAGTGCCCCATCTGATGAGGCTTCCTTCCCTGGCAAGGACGCCTTGGCTGCCTTTTTGGGCTGGTTTGATTACTGTGACCACCTCATCACAGAGGCACACATGGTGAGCCAGGGCCTCAACAGGGCTCTCTGGGGGGGTGCCCTGCGGTTGACTCCACTCCCTTCCCTGTGTCCACCTTGAGGGCCAAGTGGGTGTTTCAGGAGCTAGGCAGGGCCCCCGGGCTGCCTATTGTGTTAAACGCTGTGCAAGGACACGGTTGCTTCTCGATGGAAAACTGTCATGGAGGTAAAACGTGCTTAAGACATGTTCTTTGGCACCTAGGTGGTTGCAGACGCCTTGGCAAAGGCTGTGGCTGAGAAGTTATTCATGGAGATTGTGCAGCCCCACCTCCTGCATGTGTAAGTCTATGTCCTGTTCCCTTGGGCATGGCCGTGGTTGGGCCCAGTTGCTCACCCCACCAAGTCCCTTCCTGTCCCTAAGGCCAGGGATCTCCTTGGCCAGAGTTACGGGGGTCTGTGGGCTCCATGGTTAATGTTTGCCGGGCCTGGCCCCCTGACACACATGTGGCTCAGAGCCACATGGGCTGACTCCAGGACCTCGGGAGGGCTAGGGAGCAAGCAGAGAAATACCAGGGAAGGCACAAGGAAACCAGGAAAGGGTTCTGTCATCCCCACGTTCGTTCACTCCTGGCTCCCTCTCTGCTCTCCCCTCTCCACCTGGCTCTCAGCCCCCAGGCCTGGCTCAGTGCTCTCTCTCTGTAGTTCTGAGCAGAGCGTCCTGACCTCCACCGCCTTGCTCACGGCCATGCTGCGTCAGCTCCGCTCTCCTGCCCTGCTGCGAGAGGCTGTGGCTTTCCTCCTGGGCACAGACCCACAGGCTGCAGCCCCCGACGATGGCCCCCGCACTCTGTGCGCTCACCTCATCGGGCACTGCGACCACCTCTCTGACGAGGTGAGGGGGTGGGCGTTGTCCTTCTGGCTCCCACCGACCCCTGCCCAAGGGGGTCCCCTGACTGCTCCTCCCGCTTGCACAAACTCACCAGGTGGTACTGCCTTTGAGGCATTGAAATGCATACCCCCAAAAACAGTGACTGCTTTTGTCACACGGTGATTTTCTGTGATCAGATGCTTGCCATGTGACTTGATGTTTTCCAAACCTATTTCATATTCACTTGGCTTGTTTGAGGCTTACAGCTACTCTGAGCTAGGTGAGGCCGCTATTCCCGTTTCTCAGCCATGGAAACAGACACAGAAAAGCCAGTTGGCTCACTTGATAACATACATCAAATGGGTAACAGAACCAGGACTGGGCAGACTTTCGGCTCCCAGCCCAGCACCCACCCACTCCCCCCAAAACCTGGCACCTGCTCTTTTCTTATCTGAGTGAGCAATTCCCAGGGACCCCTAGAAACCAGGGTCCGGCTGACCCTTTCTTACCCAGATCAGCATCACCACCCTGCGGCTATTCGAGGAGCTGCTCCAGAAGCCGCACGAGCAGGTCATCCGCAGCCTGGTCCTGTGCAACCTGGAGGGCCGCCATTATGTGGCCCGGGGCTCACCCGAGCCCGAGAGCTATGAGGACACCCTGTAAGTGAAACCCTGCGCCTCTGGGAGGCCTCAGGCTGCTGGGACCCGCCACAGCCCCCCGTACCCCCGCACTTGCTCATTCATTCATTGGTGCCACAGAGATCTGGAGGAAGACCCTTACTTCACAGACGGCTTCCTCAACTCCAGCTTTCACCCCTCAGCAAAGCCTCCCCCAGCCCCTGCCACCAACTCAGATGGCAAAACAGCAGTGACCGAGATTGTCAACAGGTAGGGAGCCGTCTGGAAACCTAAGCCACTTGAGGTTTGTTCCGTCTTTGGCTCTAGCCCTGAGGGAGGCGCAGCCCAGGAGTGGGGAGGAACTAGGGCAGCCCAGGCAGTGCCCCTCCACACCTAGGGTCTTGTCTCTCAGTTTCCTCTGCCTGGTTCCTGAGGAAGCCAAGACCTCGGCTTTCCTAGAGGAGACCGGATATGACACGTACGTCCACGATGCTTATGGACTGGTGAGTGATGAGGCCTCTGCCAGCACCCACTTCTTGTCCCTCAAAGCCAGGGCGTTGATAGACTCCACCTTCTCCCTCTGTGATCTGCCCCAGGCGCTCCCTGCTCCGGCCCAGAGCCTCGAGTCCATCTTTCCTCTGTGGTTCCCGCGGTCTGCGGGTGCCTCCTGACCACTGGGCCCACCTCCTCAGCTCTCACTCCTGTTTCAGTTCCAGGAGTGCAGCTCCCGAGTTGCCCCTTGGGGCTGGCCCCTGGGCCCCACACCCCTGGACCCCCATGAGCCCGAACGGCCTTTCTTTGAGGGTCACTTCCTCCGAATGCTGTTTGACCGCATGTCCCGGATTTTGGAACAGGTAGCCAACAGGACTGGGCCCTGGCTACAGGGTGAGGGCCCACGGGAGAACTCCAGGCAGGTGCCCGGGGCGGGGGGTGGGGGTTGAGTCCTCTTTGGTTCTTCAGCTCCATATCCCCCTCCCCCACCCCTCCCACTTCTCCAGGCAGGAAGCCCCATCTTGCCTCTGCTCCACACGCCCTAACATGTTCTGGCCCTCAGCCCCAGGGAATCCGTGACACACACACATCACGTGAGACTCCCACCCCCGCACACGTTCACACTGGCCAGGCGCCTTGCTGGGGGAGTGCCAAAATGCTCACCGCCCCCTGTCAACCCTCGGCTTGTCCACTGTGCTCCCTACAGCCGTACAGCCTGAACCTGCAGGTGACCTCAGTGCTGTCCCGGCTGGCCCTCTTCCCCCACCCCCTTATCCACGAGTACCTCCTGGATCCCTACATCAACCTGGCCCCTGGCTGCAGGAGTCTGTTCTCTGTGCTCGTCAGGGTAAGAATGCCAGAGCCCAGGGCTGTGTGCCTGTGGGGTGGCAGGAAGAGAGGGGATCAGGAGGGGGCTGGGGGCCGCAGGAGTGGGCACTCTGGACAGCCCCACCCCTCCTCTGCGGTGCTACAGCAGAGCTAGGGGACCCTGCGTGAGTGTCACTGGCCCCCACCTCAGCCATGTCTCATTCCCGCTCTAGGTGATCGGGGACTTGATGCAGAGAATTCAGAGGGTACCCCAGTTCCCGGGCAAATTGCTCCTGGTGCGCAAGCAGCTGATGGGTCAGGTCCCTGGGGAGCAGTAAGTAACCGAGGGAAATGGGTGCCCAAGCACGGACCCTAGGGTGGGAAGGCAGACTGCCCAAGGATAGTGGGAGGGGCACAGGCTTGGGGGGGAAGAGGGCCCATTGCTGAGCTCGGTCTTCACTCAGAGATGTCTGCCACTGGAATGTGCCTCATGGACACTGGGATGTCATACTGGCCACACTCCCACCGCCTCCCAGCCATGACCCCCCCCCCATGCTGTCTCCCTCAGGCTGGACCACCAGACTCTCCTCCAGGGCGTGGTGGTTCTTGAGGAATTCTGCAAGGAGCTGGCTGCCATCGCTTTCGTCAAGTTCCCCCCACACGGTCCTCACCTGCACCGCTCCTCTCCCCGAGAAGGGCACGTCTGAGCCAGGAACAGGACAGGAGGGGAGACTTCTGTCCATACCTCTGCCCAAGAGCTGCCTCACACCTGGCACTGCCGCCACCTCCTGCCTCCCAGGTTGGGGGCTTGGTTCCATCTCTACCTCCCAGGCACCTCTGCCTCTAAGGAGGCCTGGGCTTCCACTCCCAGGTTAACTCAAGATCGTGGCCTGTCAGTCACACGAGACTGGGTTCAGGGAGTGGGTCTCCAAGGTACCAGAAGCCAAGGAGCAAAAGAGATGGCCTCCCAGACAGCATGGTGTCCTCGGGGCCTTCTCGGGGGAGCTGGGTAATTGCCAGGTGAGCACCCAGACCCAGACCCTCACATGTCCTGTGCCCATTACCCGAGTCGACAGGCCATTCGTGGCCGGGGCCAAGACCTGTGGCTCAGTTCCAGGGGCACAGAGGGGAGTGAGTGATGGTTCTGAGGCTGGTCAGGACCGCAGGCCAGAGACACAGGGGCGCAGGAGCCCCGTCTCTGTCACGCTAGGTACCACAGACACTGCTAAGACTTGACATTTTCTCTCCTGCCTTCTTGGCTTAATCCGTGGCAAAGGGGCAGTGGATGGCCGGGGAAGCCCACTCTTCTGCCCAGCCCTCCTGGAGACTGTTGCAAAATTCCCAACCGCCTCATGGCAAATATCCAAAGCATGCTCCGCGCCCAGGCGGGGGCAGCTGCTAATGAGAGCCTTGGTGTAACTGCAGCCAGGGCGGGAGAGGCCTTGGGAAGTTGGGGGCTGGGTGCCAGGCTCCGGCTCCAGCTGCTTTCTCTCTGGCGCCTCTGAACCCGTCCCGGCAGGTCCTCAACACCTGGGCAGAGGGGCTCAGAGACTGGGGGGAGGCCGAGCCTGGCCCTCCTCAGCTTTCCACCCAGCCTGCAGTGCTCTTGATGGCATACTCTTCCGGGGGCGCCAGGGAGCTCAGGACAGACGAGGCCAGGATGCCCACCTGACCCCAAGCCCCCAGGGCCCGGCAGGGAGGCGCTGGGGCCCAGGCAGCCGGTTGTAGTGTTGTTCTCCCTGCATGCCCTTCACGGCTGGGGCTGCCACCCCACCCGGCCTGAATCTGTCTCAACCTGCAGGAACACACAGGTGGCGCCAGGCATTACCTCACAGCAGGACTGCAGTTCCTGGCTTCGCTCCTGGGCAAGGAGGAGCAGGCCAGAGCCCCTTTCGCTTCCTTTTCCTGCCTATGCCGCTTCTAGAAGCCGGCCGCAGGTTGCCAGGAGGTGACATGGGAGAGGAGAAACTCAGTGACCTCTCCCTCTCCTGCGTTCCTCCAAGCTGGGGAGGATGTAACCGCTGCTCTGAAGGACACCGTGCATGTGCATGCATGCGTGTGTGCACACGTGGGTGTTGGCGCGGGACCGGAGAGCAGAGCTCACAGGGCAAATTGAACTCTTCGAGTCAGAAAAACGTTTGAGCGTCTGGGAGTCACAGAGACTCCCCTCCTCCATCCCCTTCAGCATTCACACTGCGTCCCCCCGAGACAACACAGCAATAAATGGTTTGGTTGCGTGGACACAGCGGCCCTCTTCGCCACTCTTCGTGTCCTCCTGCAAAGGACTCCACTGCTCATTCAGGCCCATCTTCCTCCCCAAGAAAGACACGTTCCTTTTCCAGCACTGCAGTGGAGAGAGGTGGTGTCCGGGTGGGCGGGGGGGGGGGGGGGGGCCGGCGACGGGGGTGGTAAATAGAGACAGGCTCCGGCAGCGCACATCTGATGTTCCTCGGCGCCTGCCAGGAACCAGGCTCCTTCTTGGCCAAGCAACACTTTCTGCCCAGCTTACCTACAGCTGAGAGCCAGCTAGCCTTGGAGACACTGGGAGAGAACAGGCCATCTGGAGCATCTGTGTGCAAGTCTCATTTTGGGGTATTTATGTTTTGAGTTGTATGAATGCTTTAGTGGACCTCCTTTTTTAAAAACCTGTCCCTAGATGTGTGTGGGGGGGGATGCTCTCCGGAAGGTAGCTGAGTGAACTCCAGGACAAAGCAAGTTGAAAACTCGGACAGGGCTGATGAGTGGCTCTTACCTCTTACCATGTCACAATCACTGGGTTTGCTTTTTCCAATACCTGTGGAATCGGTGTCTCTGGGGGTGGGCCCAGAGTTGTTTTTAAAGCTCTCCAGGTGATTCTAATGGGCAGGGTCGAAAACTACTCTAGGCTAAATAAAGTGGGAGCAAAGATTGCCCTTCGACAGGGATGTGGACTGGCGGGTCCCTCAAGACACTGAGAGAAATGAACCAAAGTGAAAGGGTTTGATTCCATCATGTGGGAGATGTTTGTCCTCAGACGGCACAAGAGGATTCCTACCACAGCCTAAGGCCAGAAAGACAAGATGGCAGCCAAGAGAGGATGGGAAAGGGGGGCATCAGTGTCAGAGTGGAGTTACCTCAGAAGGGAAGCCTAGTCAAGTGTCCCCTTGCTCAGAACCAGAGATCTGTATTACACGCAGTGATCAGCACACGATATATTTTCTTTGTTCACTTCCTGTGGTTTTCCCTTAAGTTTTAGTAAAGTTCTTTTTTAAAACAATAATTTTTATCATGATTCTGCTGGGTTGAGGGGAAAGGAATAAAGGGTTTTGGTCTGGCTTGGGCTGAAGTTGTAGAAAGGCAGAGGCAGGAGCCTGGAGGCCAGCAGAGTGATGCAGGGAGGGAACAGGGAAGCTCAAGGAGGCAGGACCAGCTTCTACTTTACAGCTCCTTGCCCACCTGAAGCTTCTGGTGTTCTCACTGCTCAAACCCCAGAGGGGATGTGGACACATCCTGCCCTGGCAGGCAAGAGAAAGAGAGCACCAGTGGACCACAGAGGCTATGGTGGACAGCAGGAAGCCTGCCCACCCCAGTCACCTGCAGTCTGGGACACAAGCTTGCTATCTGGGAAGACCTGGGTGGCTGTGGTGGGACAAGGGGAGGAGCTTCTTTCTTGATGCAGTTCCCCCTTCCTGCTCACTTCCTCCCCACAGAGACATGTAGGCAGGAAGGCAAAGCAAATGCCACCTATTTACTCAGCAAGGGGCCCACTCCCTTGGAATGACCTCCCCCAGCAACCCAAGTCCGTATTCTAAGTGCCTGAGAATCGGGATGTAGGCCTTTACTGAGGCAAGCATGGAAAATGACGAGTAGATGCCCTCTCAGGTTCAGAAAGTTCTCACATCCCCGTAGGGAGTAGTGCCCTCATCGTGCCCACAGGGCAATTAGATCCTTAAGCTCTGAACTCCTTGTTTGGTTAAAGGCACTGTCCTGGTGCAATGCAGGGACCTGTTCCACAGAGAAGGAAATTACCCTGAGAACTAGGAGAATCACCTCCTAAGGCAACAAGACCCGACTGCCAACCTCCTGCCTCCCTCAGAGGAAGGCAGAGCCGCGGTGGGGGAGGAGAGGGCCCAGGAGACTGGCTCCTTGCACAACGATGGCACCTTCCTATCTGTTGACTGGGACAACAGATGATTCCTGAAGTCTCTGTAAGAGCTGGCTTTGTAGATCTTCCTCCATCACCTTCCACCAAAAAAAGTTCTCACCCCGAACCTTTGGGGGCTCACTCTGCATACCTGGGTTCCGAAAAGCCACAGTCACCAGCACATTCAAGCAGACGCCATCTGCATGGTCTTTGCCCAGATGTTGCAGTCCAAGCAACCCCTTGGTCTCCACTGCCAAGTGGTGCAGGGTCAGACACTCCTGTAGCAGCCGCAGGATGGCCATCTTGATGCCACCCCTTTGCTCCATGGGAGTGAAGCCGCAGGCAGTGATGGGCAAGTGAGGCATCCCCACTGTGCCCACCAACACCCACACTGTCTGGACACTGGTAAAGGTGGCCACGAGTCGCTGGCAGACCAGACTACAGGGAAGCTCCTGGGGCAGAATAAGAGGGTGCCTGGCTTGCTGGCGGTACTGGGCGGCTAGCTCTACCAGGTGCAGAATGTCCTGGGCTCGCAGTGGAGTGGGCAGGGAGGTTCGTGGGTACCAGCCAGCCTGCAGGGACTCCGCATCCGCCTCCTTGGAACTCTTGAGATTTCCACCTGGAGGGGATGTCGAGGATGGGGTGGGGGAAAGGGTGTCTGTTGAGAGAAGTGCTGGGTGTGGCAGATTAAACGGCCACCCAGGCATTCTAGCCCTGACCTACACCAGGGTTGGGGTTGGTAGGGGTTGGTAGGGGCTGGGAGTCAAATCCACAGGCTGGAGATGCCAGGCAGACTAGGGGCTCATCTCATTAGAGGACAAGCTGGGGGAAAGGTGTCAGCTGCCCCCTGCCAAACACTGCCACCAGGTGGGCCATACCTGTGGCTCGAGCGAGGAACACAAAGCGGATCCAGGAGGGGCCCCGCTCCTCCACAGACAGCAATGTCAGAGGCTCACAGTGCAGCCCGGCCTCCTCCTTCACCTCCCGCTGCAGTGCCTCCACGATGGTCTCCCCAGGCTCCATTCTCCCCGCGGGTAGGTACCAAGACCCACGGCACTCTTTCTTGGCCTCCTGGATCAGTAGCACCTCATCCTGAGGGGAGAGAGAGGAGCTTCGCTGGGAATCTTCCCTTGCCCTGGGGTTAGAGCCTATCTCAAATACAGTCACCCAACACCCCCTTACTGGTGCACACCTCAAGCTGATGAGCTCTCCAGGGAGCTGGCCCTTGTGTTCCTGGGGGCCGCAGCTGTCTCACTCTGCAATTTATCCCTCTTTGCATTCAGACTTCCATTTCAGAAAGGGGCTAAGATTCCTGGGAGCTGTTTCAGGGGCTAGGGATTAGGCCCCACGGTGAGGTTTGCCATGTGTCCTGCACTGACTCCTGTCTACATGCCACATGTGTCTATGTGTATCGCTCACCTCCCCTGGTGATTTTACAAACCGCTTGTGCCACGGTCCTCACACTGGGGCCTAGGCTTCGCAACACTCCCCACCCCCATACAACTCCTACCTCTGGCCCTGGCCCCTTCTAGCCGGTGTTGCAGCAACTTGCACCAGGATCAGCACGAAAAGAGCACCACACAGTGGGACAGAAGGTCTGATATAAGCGCAGGTCGTGCCATTACTGTCCACGGGGCTCAGAGGAGGTCTCTGAGGCACTGGGCAGATCTTTGAGCCCACTAGCGGCAGGCACTGTGCTAGATTCTGGGGAAAGAGGAATACGACAGGCCTCTTCTCAACACACTGAGGCCTAGCGGGAGGAAATAAGCAGGCTCCCGGGCCTCAGATTCCTCCTCAGTATAGAGGGACAGTCTCAGGGCTGGGCCGCACAAGGCTCAGATGTTAAGTGTGAGTGAGAGTGCTTTGCAAAACTGGGAGGCACCACGCACCAAGAAGTGGCGGCTGCTGCCGGCAAGTCCTCTGTCCCCACCGGGGCTGGCTGCGCGCTGCGGAGGGCCGGGCGCCGGGCCCAGCGGGCGGACGCTCACCTGCTCGTTGAGGAACACGGCCAGCACCACGTAGCAGACGTTCTTCCGCAGCCGCACGGGCGCCCGGGGCTCCCCGGCCGGCACCGAGTCGCAGCTGTGCACATTCAGCCCCTGGCCCCCCAACACCGCCGCCAGCGCCCCCGCCAGGCCCTCCGATGCCATCGGGTCCCCTGGGAGGCGGCAAACGGGCCCCCGCAGACCGACCGCGCCGGGCAAGGTGGGACACGGGTGAGACAGCGGTCCGCCGCCGTCGCCCCCTCCCCCTGCCGACTCGGGCCAGGCGCACTCGCGAACGCGGAAGCGCCGGCGAGCCCTGTCCGCTGATAGGCTACGCGTCACCGCGGCCTGCCCGGATTGGCTGGCTCGCGTCGGTCATGGCGGGGGCGGGCCCAGTCCGTGAGCGGGCTGGGAGCCGGGCCTGGGAGCTGGTGGCCGCGACCGGCTTCTGCTTCTCTCTCAGTTATCCGACGCCCCGCCTCCGGACATTTCTAGCCACCAGCCTCGCTAGCTCCTCCAGCAAGCACTTGTTGGTGCGGGTTCCGACGATGACGTCATCCTGCCTGCGGGCTGCGGAGCGCCACTGTGGCCAGCGACGATGACGTCACGACAAGCCAGATGACATCACGGAGGCCCCGGGGCCGTGGCTGGGACCTACTGTTCAACTTTGGTCATACACCTACCATGGCATTGCCCAAATCGATCACTTCCCAAATAACTTTTCTTCACTAAAAATGTACAGCATGTCACCGTGGCAGGGGGAACATTAGCTCCTGCCTTGGGGAGGTGGACATAGACATATCATAAAAAGTCAACTGAGGGTTATAAGCCAAGTGTCTTGGGTAAGAGGTGTGACAGGTGCTCAGAGAAGAGAGGGAGTGGGGCTGGGATGGTCAAGGTGTGGCTGGCCATGGGAGGAGGAGATTTGGGGCAGAAAGAGCCTCCATCGGTGTACTGGCCCCTTGCCCACTGCATTTCCCACGCAGTTTTAGGGCCCTCTCCACTGAAGACTGAGAGCCCTGCTAGGGCAGGGACCAGGTCCTGCTCCTTCATCTTTGTTCTCCCCCACAACCAGCTCACACGACCTGGTAGCCTGGCGCTTTGAGAGCAGGGTGTGGGTTGTTCTGGCGAGTTCCTACTTCTCTCCCAGACTGACCTTTCCTCCTCAGAGCTTCCTTTAACCTACTCTCAGGACAGGAAGGCAGAGCCAGCTGGAGTGAAACTGTGAAGCCAGCCAAGTCTGGGCTCCCCATCCCCAGTTGAGTTTCCCCTTGCCCTCCTGCCAGCTTTGTGCACCTTCCTTTTAGGAAGGTGTAGACAAGGGGCGCCTGCGTGGCTCAATCGTTAGGCGTCTGCCTTCGGCTCGGGTCATGATCTCAGGGTCCCGGGATCAAGCCCCGCATCGGGCTCCATGCTCCGCAGGAAGCCTGCTTCTCCCTCTCCCACTCCCCCTGCTTGTGTTCCCTCTCTTGCTGTGTCTCTCTCTGTCAAATAAATAAAAATAAAAATCTTAAAAAAAAAAAAAAGAAGGTGTAGACCAAGCATTGGACTTGGAACCAGATGCCCAGCCACAGCTCACTGGCTGGCTCTGTGCCCCTGGAGGAGTTGTGGGCCTCAGTTTCCTCATCTGTAGACTAGGCTCATAATAGCCCTTCCTCCACAGGGTTGTTGGGGAGGTGAGACATCACAGGAGGAGCTCTGTAGACTGTCCAGTGCAGGTCACCGTGACCAGGCAGCTCAGCCCTGGGGGGGGGGCGGGGAGCCCTCCTGGCCACAGCACTTGTTGCTGCCTTGCAAAGGCCCACTGTCATGAAAAATGCCTACAGGACCGCCACACAACTATACTCTCAGGAATTCCAGCCACACCAGACTGGCCTCCTTAGGCCCCTCTCCCATAGGGAATTGACTGCAAGTTCCCTGGGGGCAGGGCCCTGTGTTAGGTGGTGGGGCATCCCTGTCGGGCCCACAAGCTTTTGAGGCACTTGCTGACCACTGCTGACCGCAGCCCTATCCAAGACCCCTCTCCTCCCAAACTCTGGAACTCATGCCCGGAGAGTCGGGCCCCAGGGACTGCAAAGCACCTTGTCAACATATTTGCTGTGGTGTGTGTGTGTGTCCACACATCGGTTTTCACATCTGTGAAGTGGGGACAGCGTTGGTCCCAGACTCCTTTCTGCCTCCCAGGGGTGATTTGAGAGAGAATGAGGTCATGTCTGGCAGGGCTGTGAGAGCCTCAGAGGCAGCCTAAGATAAACACCAGACTGCCTGGAAGAGCAGACTGCAGCAAACCACCGCCCCACTTCCCCATTATCACTGGGAAAAGCTCTCCTCCCCTGTTAAGTGGACCTAATCACCCCTGTGGTGAGGAGCACCCAAGGCAACAGGAAAGCCCCTTGTAAACTGAGAAGGGCTGCACAGGCAGAGGGCCCTCAAGAGAGTGTACCTGGCCCTTTCAGGAGTGCCGAGGGAAACAAGAGAAAGTAGACTTTTTCAAGGCAGCGGGTGGAAGACAGCACACACCACACTGAGACAGCAGATCCCCAAGACCCACAGGAAGAGCTGAGGGAGGAAAGGGGGCTGAGGGAGAAGCATCCAGAACCAGAAACAGAGAAAGTTCTCTGTTAAAGTTTGCTCTGCATCCCCCGTTCCCAGAGAGGGTGGAGCACCAGCTGGTGGGGGCGGCTGCGCAGCATGGTGGACAAGAGTGGCCAAACTGGTAGATGTCCTTTTACGGTACTCCCAGCACCCACGGGAGCAAAACCGGAGGCAGCCATTTCCGAGCGTGTGGACGCACATGCGCAGGAAGGCAATGTAGGCAGCCTTGGAAACAGGGCCAGGGATGGGCAGGCAGGGTGGGGCAAGGGCGTCTGTGACTCTAGAGGCCTCTATGGAACAAGGAACGCCGTCCCCTTGCAAAGCAGGGCTGTGAGGAGGGCAGTAGCCCAAGGTACAGGGCGGGGGAGGTTTGGTTGAGCCCGTGCCCTGCCACTAGCTTGCTGAATGACCTCGGGGGAGCCACATCTACCCTCTAGGCCATCTGTAAGATGCAGACATAGGTGGATCCTGAAACAGAAAAGGGACATGAGTGGGAAACTGGTGAAATCCCAGTAAACTCTGTTGCTTGGTTAATAGTGTATGGATAACGATTTCTTGTTTTGATTACTGTGTCATCTTTGTGTAAGATGTTAACATGAGAGGAAGCAGGAGGAAGGGTAATCGGGAACTTTACTATATTTGTGACTTGACTGTAAATCTAAAATCATTTCAAAATCAAAAGTCTAAAAATGTACTTTGTAAGAAAAGAGAGGGGCGCCTGGGTGGCTCAGTCAGTTAAGCATCTGCCTTCGGCTCAGGGTCCTGGGATGGAGCCCCTCGAGTCCGCTTCTCCCTCTCCCACTGCCCCTCCCCCACGCGCACTCTCTCTCTCAAATAAATAAAATCTTGAAAAAAGAAAAAGTTGGCACTGGTTGTCCACATGCTGGAGTCACTTCCAGCCCTGAGAGTTGCACTTTGGTGACATGTGGGCCAGTGAGAGGGGCGGGAACAGAAGGTGGACAGTGGGGATGCTGGGAGAAGCAGAGGCCCCAAGGGCAGCACCCACAGGGGGTGAGCCAGCTGAGCTTCCACGAGGAAGAGGGCCCCCAGGTGCTGTCTCAGGGTCAGTATCCACCTGGACTGGCTTCCTGCCCAGGGCCAGTCCTGGAACATTTGGTCCACCTGCTGTTTACAAGAGTCAGACCCAATATGCCCTTGAGGTGCTATGGCCTGTCATGAGATGGGAGGCGGGGCAGAGAGGCCTGTGGAGAAGACAGAGGCCCGGTGACTGGGCCATCTCTGTCTTCCCACAGGAAGCACCCTGTGTTTGGGGTTCTAGGGTGACATTAGGACACAGCTATATAAGGTGAAATGTAGGTAGGGAAGAGTCACTCGGTGCCACTTGGAACACGATCAGCTATAAAGTGTCCTTGTTGGAAGGAGGACAGAGAGGACAGCAAGCCCATCTGTGAAGTCCATTAAGGGCTGAGACTAATGTAAAGGAGGCTCTAGTCAGGAAGCTTGGTTCAAACCCCAATTCTGCTGCTAAACCTGCTGTGTGTGACCTTGGGTGACTCACTTAACCCCAGCCTGCCTCTCTCCTCTTCTGTAAAATAAATATAAATAATGTCTACTTCAAAATCATGAAAAGTGAAATGAAAACAGTTGCAGAATAAAGTGTAGGAGCACCTTGATTTTCTTTTTTCTCTATCCCATGAGAATGAAAATAACCTAGTTCTGCAAACAATGAAGAAACCGGATTTTTTTTTTCTTTCAAATGAGGAATGGCTATGTGAATCACAGCAAAGCCACAGAAGGGAACACAAAAAGCCATTTAAAATGGAGGTTAGGCAGTAACACAGAAAATGACCGCAATACAGTGTTAAAAGGAAGAAACTGAGTACAAAACACACCGACTCAGTCATGTATAAAACAGCTCCTTGGAGAAAATACGAGGAAATACACCGAAAAGCTAATAGTGGTTGGGTTCGGGGTGAGTGGAGGTGAGCTTACAGGTGACTTTTTCCTATTTTCTAAATGTTCTGAAAGTATATTAGATTTATAATAAAAAAAATTTTATTTCATAAAAAAAAAACATTCCCCAAACCACTGCAGGAACAGTTAGGTATCCCAAGAGTCGGAGCATGCTGGCACTACGATGTACAAGGGCAGGCGGGCAGGCAGAGTCGCACAGAGGGCCCTGGGGGTGGGGAGGGGCTGTCAACTGTCTCAGGCAGCCAGCCAGTCCCTGGGGAGTGGGCCTGGGGCCCGCCGCGGGCACCGAGGGCAGACGGCTAGGCAAGAGCTCTTCCGGGCCGCACTCCCAGAGCTCCAGGTCGGGTCAGACAGGAGAGCTGGGGTAGCCTGCAGTTCTGGGCAGGCTGGGGCTCCCAGATCTCCGTAGACCCAGCGCGCACAGGAAGGCTGCCGTGCCGCTGAACCCCAGGGCTCTGCCTTGTCCGCGGTCTGCTGTCAGGAGCATCCTCAGGGCCCAGGCCCTGGAAGGTTCCATCTGCTCCTCAGTGGGAAGGAAGGATCCAGGCCCCAGGAAGAGGAGCAGGCCCGGGTGTTTGAGGTCCCTGTCATGGTGCCCCCCAACCCCACTCCACTTCCTTGTCTCCCCTCCCTCCCCAGTCCCTGTGGCCTGCCACTCCAGCAGCATTCACAAAATAACAGCCTTTAATGGAAATCATGAAGGAGGGAGGCGAGACGGGGGAGCAGGGACAGGGCATCGCCCATATCATTCCCTCCAGCCAAGCCTGGGCAGTCTCCTGATGTCCTCCCCCTCCCCACACTTCACTGTTGTCTGGCAAAAGGGCAGGATTTCAGCGGCCCCTTGTCCAGCATGCCTGCAGTGCGAAGGGCCACCCTGGAGCCCAGTGAAGATGTGGGTGGTGTAAGCAGAGCTTGGGCAACAGGTGGGACAGTAGGGGATGAGGCAGCAGAAGAAGGTGTTGCTTAAGCCAGAACGATTCCCGAGGTCCCCCAAGGAAGGGCTGTTTGTCTCTTGGGTTCAGGGGGCAGGGGTCGGAGGGAGTCATTCACCCCCAGTGTGGGCCTGGTACCGTGGAGAGGGATGCAGGGACGGAGCAGGTGCCAGCCTGTGAAGGGCAGTTGTGAGCTTCGATGGCACCGTGGTTGTTGGCTTTAGGGCCCAGGTTGGGGTGGGGAACAGGGTGCCCTGCCTGTGCCCAGAGTGGAGTTTGAGGGATTGATCAAAAGTCCCCAAGTGCCCCAGCGTCATTCTCTGCTGAAGCTGTGCTGGGACTGAGCACCTGATCTACCTGCCCCCCTAACCTACCCCAGACACTCGGGATCCCCCTATTTAGCCTCCTGTAATGTTCCCACAGACACCTTCACTGCTTGGAACACAGCCCAGTCCATCTAAGAAGAAAGAGAAAGGACAAGGTGTTTACAATCACATTCCGGGGCTCTTCCCACCCAGAAGGTCCCTCCTGGGCCCAGGCTGGCTGCTTGCTTGGCACAGAGTGGATTTGCTGTGCCATCCCAGCCACCCTCCTGGCCAGCGTCACACTCACCTGGGCATAAAGCAGGCGGCGGTCAGGGGACAGGCTGGGTCCCTGGTGGCAGAGCTGAGCAGAGAGGGCAGAGGTCTCCGGGGACAGGAAGTGCTGAGTGACACTCACGGTGCTTACCAGGCCCTGCACCTGTGCCAGAGAGGAGGTGGACAGAGGGTCAGTGGAGACTCGGGCTCACGCATCCTCCCCCTGCCCCTCGTCCCCGAGGTCTACGTCCCATAACAACCCCCACCCAGCTCTCAGAGAGCGGAGGCCCTGGACCCAGCACCAGGCACCTCAAAGGGCGTGGCCAAAACCAGGCCAACGGGAGGCCGGAGAGGGCACAGGCAGGGTGAGCGTCCGAGGACACGAAGCCCAGCAGGGCTACGTGACTTCCAGACCACTCAGCCTCTCCTCCCCTTACAGTGGGGTGGGACTTCCTGCCCTGCCCAGTGCTCAGGGCACTGGGAGGGGCGAGGCCCGGGGTCCTCCGGAGCACTGTGGTGTCAGCTCTGGCTGCTTTGCATGGTCTGAGCGCCCTGCAAAGCCCTTGGCCTGCTGGGGAAGCACCTGGTGGGGAGCCCCGGCAGGCACCAGCACGGCCTCTCCAGGGGCCTGCAGCAGGGTCCAGCAGTTCACGCCCCACTCCTCCCGCAGGCGCCGCCGCAGCCCTGCATCCAGGTAGCAGTAGCCCGGGGTGCCAGGCTCCAGGTTGCCTGCTCCGGCCGGGCACACCTCAAGGAAGAGAAGGGGGAATGAGCAAGGGAGGGAAACGAGGAAAGGGCTGCAGGATGGGGCACAGACTTCCCAAAGGCCAGAGGCGCAAAGGCCAAGAGCTGAAGTGGTCAAGTCTTGAGGGCAGGTGGGGGCGGCCATAGGGGCGGGAGAAAAGGCTAGGTGGTGAGGGGCTGGGGCTGCTCAGGTCGGAGGTTTGGCTGGAAAGAGTGTAGAGGACAGGATTAGGGGCTCCAAGTCTGGCGGTCTAAACCCCCACTTTTCTTGGGGCTGGATGCCTTTGAATAGCCTCTGTGACCCTGGCCCTGGACCCCTTTCTCCAAAAACCCAGAAAGATGTCCTACATGATCCCAACTCATAAACTGTCTATATCAGGAGCTCTTAACCTGGAGTCCCATGAATGTCCTGCATTGGCTGCTAAATTGTAGGCCACCAGATAGCTCGATGTCCCTGGGGAGACCATCTGCAGCATCGATCAGATTAATCTAAGATCCCAGATCCAGGAAAGGCCACACAGAGGCTTTGATGCACCGTGGATGTACAGGCTTGCCTGCCAGACTGAGGTCTCTGAAGCAAGCATAGCTATGGGGGAGGGGGGGGGCCTTCATCAGCCCAACCAGAGTGGGGAGCTCCTTGGGCAGACAGGGACTCATGGGAGCCAGAGAAGGAGATGCCCAGGGAGTTACCTGCAGAGGTGAATGCCAGCATCGTGCTCCACCTGGCCACCAGCCAAATCCACCCCTTCAGTAGGACCTCAGCAATTGTCCCTGGGCTTAGGACTCAGGGTTCCAAGACTGGGCCATGGGGAAAGGGGAGGCTGGTGAGCCAGCCTGGAACCTAGGGTGGCCCCAGGCAGGTGCCAAGGCTCTTTTGCCCTCAGAATCCATCCTGGAGCTAGATCAGTGTTTCCCAGGCCACCCAGTGAGAATATGCCCCTCCAACCTTCTCCGTGAATCATCAGGTTTGGCCATATGAGACTGCCTAGAGCGACCACACCCAGACTAGATGAGGCCATCTGTGTATGAAGGTGTGCTTCTGTCTGCTTCCTTCGGCGTGTTCCGGCGTCTGTGTGTATATTTACGGGTCTCTGTGTGTTTGTCAGTGTGTCTGTAGATACGCATGCCTGTGGGCAGGACGGTGTGGTGGACAGCCATGTTAACACCTGCATGTCTGTCTGTGTGTGTGTTTGTGTGTGTCTTTAGCAGGGGTGACACTTGGAGGATGGCTTTCTCCCAGGACAATCAGGGTTCAGCTGGACTTTAGAACCCCTGGGCCTGCCCTAACCTTAACACTGGCCTTCCACCTCCCCGGCCCCCTGGAGCTTCCTGCCTCCTGCTTATCCCCTCATCTTCTCCTTCCCTGCCCCTTATCTTGGTCCAGTCTTTCCCACCCACCAGGCTGCCTCCTTCAGCCCTCACTTGCTAGCATCCCAAAGAGCACCTCCTTATAAGATGTAGATCACGGGGGCGGGGGGCTACAGGAGGGCATCTCAGATGGGCTTCCCTTCGCCCTCTGCCACCTGGAGCCCTTGCAGGGGAGGCTGTCTGCCCCCAGGAGAAACAGGGCTATGACCTAGTCTCAGGTTTCAGCTCTACCACTCAGCTTCAGTTTACTCACCTGCAAAATGGGAAAGCAGCAGTGCCTGCCACACAGGGTGGTTGTGACAATTAACCGAGATCATGTACCCAAAGCCCTTACACAGTGCCTAGCCTGCAAAAGCTCCTGCTCTCGTTTCATCTCTCGGTCCCTGCTCACTCCCTGCTCTTTCTGTGTGCCCCACCACGCAACTCATAAGGTCCCAACCCGCCTTCTCTGAGTGAGTCAAGGCCGTCCAGCTCACCTGGGGGGTGGGGAGAGTGAGCACATGGGGCACGCACAACCGGGAGAGAGCTTCAGGGGCCTGGGAGCCCCCACTTCTAGGGAGCATGAGGGCAGCTCAGGGGAAGGGGAGGGCTCCCAGCTCCTTCCTCACCATCTGGAGAAAGCGGCGGATGCGCTGAGCGTCCTGTGCTCGGAACACGTGCCAGACAGTGCTGACCTGGCTGCCTGGAGACCAGAGCCCCTCCCCATCCAGGCCTGAGAGGAAGTCTGTGGAAGAAAAACAGCTCAGGGGGGCCCGGGGATGGTGGGGGGAGAAACAGCATGTCTAAATTTGCAGACTGTCTGACCCCTGCCTCTGGCCCAGGACCCACCTTTCTGTGCCCGGTGCCAGGTAGGCGGCGGGGTCTCAGCACGTACCAGGACGCTGACCAGGTCGGTCACCTCCACACAGAGGTTCTTGGTCCCCAGGTGCCCACGGTGTGGGCTCACACCTGCACGGAAGCAGAGAAGAGACCAGCAGGTCACGGGCCCCAGGACTTTGGCACAGACACGCCTGTGCCCAGAGGTAATAGGCATGGGATCAGGGGCTGGGCAGGAGTGGTATGGGCACTCACCATAGGCTGCCCACAGCTGGGGCTCCAGTGGACGCAGGGCGGGGCCAGGTGGGAGGTAGGAAGCCAAGTTGAGTTTCCCGTGGCGGGCACAGTACTCGGGGAGGGGCAGGCTGGCAGCCAGGTTCTCCATCCTGGAGGGGGCGGGGTCATGCCCAGCCGACTCAACCCAGGCACCCGAGATCCCCTCAAAGCCCACCACTACTGGGGTCACTCCCAGAGGCAAGAGGGTCACGGGGTGAGGGGCAAGGGGCTGGTCAGAGGCTAGGCAGGTACTATGCTACTATACACACCTGCTGGTGTCCTCATCCCCCAGAGCTCTGTGCAGCAGGAGGACGGAGCCCTCGTCTGACTTTGGGCGAACTAGGGGAGGAGACATGCCATTGGCCCAGGGGAAGAACCTCCTTGCCCAGAGGACTCGGGCCCCGTGGCAGCAAGAGGGTCTAGTGTCTGCCCTGGGCTCTGCTTCCAGCAAACCCCCCCTAAGGTCACCATGGGACTTCGCTGCCACCTGGCTCAGCCTCCCAGCTCCCCCTGCCCCACATCAGGGACACTTACTTTCAGGCCGGGAGAATCCCTCCCAGAACGTTGCACTGTGGAGGCTTGTGGGCTGGGGAGGCCCGAGGGGCGTCAGTGCCTGCACCTGGCCTCCAAGTGCCCCAAGAGCTTCCGTCCCCCACAGGTTGCCTCGCAATGTCCTCTGAATCCCCGACACCAACACGGGCTGCAGTGAGGAAAGGCAGAGGGATGCAGGGGGAACGACCAGATGGGCAACCCCCTTGGCCAGGCTGGGGCATGTTGTAGGGGACACGAGACTCACGTGGGGACCAACCCTGCTGCCCACTCTGGGTGATGGGCCAGGTCTGCCTGGGCCTGGGATGAAGGCTCTGAGGGTAAGTGAGGCCGGGAGAACTGGGAGTCAGGAGGCAAGGAGCCTCACCTGGCCCTGCCTCCAGTGCTCCTGGAAGACATGGAAGCCTCTCTGAGGCCTGGGCTCCTGCAGCCACAGCAGAGCTCCGGGAGGAGGCAGCCGGGGCCGCACTGGTGAGAGGGGCAGGCCCAGGCCTTTGCGCAGTCCTGGCCCGGCCCGCAGCCCCGGCCCCAGGGCTTTCTCCTGGATCTTCCTTTCCACCACCTGTGCGATGATGCTGTCCAGGATGTTGGTGATGCGGTCATCCTGTGTGGACGGAAGGCCAGAGGGGCAGGATGACTCAGGACCTGCCTTACTCCACAGGGAGGGCCAGCCCAGCCTGTGTCCCCAGGGTCCCCAGGCCTCCCTCTGTGCCCTTGCTCACGCTGGGCAGGGCAGGAGTGACCGGGGCAAAGGCCATGTGTATCCGCTCGTGCCCCAAGCAGAGTTTGACAGCAGTGGAGGCCAGCAGTTCACAGAGAGAGGGACAAGGTAGGGGCCCTCGGCCGGCACGGTCCTCTGCCGGGGTCTCGGTGGAGTCCGGGGTCTCTGGCAGGGAGGAAAATGGTGAGGGGCTTCCCCTTTTTCTCGAGGCTCCACTGCCCACAGGCTCTGCCCTCGTGTCCTGGCCAAGTCTCTCTCCTCACTGGCGCTGCCCGGCTCAGCTGCTCTGGAGGCGCTCACCTCCCACCGCCTGCCGGCAGCTTCCTAAACCTCTCCGGAGGAGGAGGGGCTTACGATGGGGGTCTGACTGCAGAGGGGTGAGGGTCTTGTCCTAGATTTTATTCAGATTTATTTCCTCAGGAATGATTTGAGAAGAGTGATGGAGACTATGGGGGCACAGGATGGCTAAAGCCATTCCAATCTGTCCTTCGGATGCCAACCCCGCAGCCCAACCTCCCTGCACAGTCTGAGCAAGGTCCAGGGGAGCTGCTCACCCTCTTTGATGTCCTTGGTCCTGTTGGTGTCCCCGTTGCAAGAAGACTGTGGAACTGGGGGAGTTTTCTCTGTCGGCTCCTTCTGTTAAACCCATCCACCCCCCCCAACCCAACCAGAGATTTAAAAGCGGCAAACATAGCTCAATCCAATTCAACCCACAAGTATTAACAACAGACTAGAAAATTGTGTTTAGAGGGAGCAGAATGTTATGTGATATAACATTAGGTGGGAAAAAGTTGCTCAAGGAATTCCACACACAGTATTGATCTAAAATGTACAAAAATAGGCTGAATAAATACCTAGACAAGTGACTGGAAAGAAAGTTGTCAAAATGATAACAGTGGCATTATAGCCTATTGCTGTATTCTTCCTTATACTTGTTTGTATTTTCCATAATGGGCACGTACCAGTGTCTGGCACACAAAATGCATTCAATAAACTATTTCTTGAATGAATCGTTTTTATAATAAAAGCATGAACTTTATAAAACCTTTGTAAAATGCATGCTGGGTGCCTGCCCTATGTTAAGAGCAGGACAGAGAGAGAAGGTGGGCCCATAGTCCGCCCGCAGGAGCCTGTGCCTGGGGAGTGGAGAGACAGGGCCCGCCAGCGAGCAGCTCCAGCACGATGGGGCAAGTGCTAAGCTGGAACACGCACAGAGTGGCAGGAGCTCTGAGCAAACAGAGAGGGAGGTGGGGCCGATGCTAGAGCTCAATCCATGGATCCTGATCCCCAGAGGAGAGTGAGAAATAGCTTGATTTTACCCAGCGTCCATGTCCCTCATCCCCATCAAAAGACAAGGGCCAAACCCTGCCAGTAATTCCCAGACACACTGCCCAATCTTGGGGCCTTCACCAGCTAGTGCTGCCCAGCTTCTTACCTGCTGGCCCCCATCCCCAGAGGCCCACACTCGGGCATCAGCTTGGCAGGGGCAGTGCCCCCGGATGTCAAACTTGACCCACACCTCGTGCATGGCGGTGCTCAATTCTGCCAAGGCTGTGAGTGGGGAGGGAAGACGGAGTTTGGTAGTGAGTGTGCACAGAAGGCCGTCCCTGTGCTGCTTGGCCTCACCAAGCAGGAGGGCGCGGGATTGGGCGGAGCCACATCCAGACAGGACCCGCCCTCTACACAGCCCACCCCTCCAAGATGGCTCACCCTGGCTAGAAACGAGCTGGGTGAGCATCAGGGAACTGGCAGTATGCCTGGCCTCTTGGGGACACTCCTCCGTGGACTCCTCCCGAGGGCCTGTGAGGTAGGAAGAAAGAAGCTGCAGGTCAGGAAACCAAGGTAACCACAGCTTAAGGTCAGAGAAGAAGCACAAGGGCATGACATCTAAATCAAGGGACTCGACAATCCATAAATCCATAAAACATGGGCTTCTGGGACACTTGGGTTCAAGAATAACGTAGGATTCTTTGCTTGTGGAACGCAGAGACTTTAGAAAAATGCTGACATACATTGCCAGGACTCCAAGATGATCTTGTAGAATACAGTGTTCTCAAACATTTCTGACCCTGGAACTCTTTTTGGCTACCTCTACTGGAACACTGGGAAATTTTAAGCCCTCAGGTGACTGAGTGGAGCCAAGGGAGAAGCTGAGAACCATGAAAAAAGTAAGACTTGGGATCATAAGGTCTGAGTCTAAATCCTGGACCCAACACTTCTTAGCTGTGTGACCTTGAACAAATCACTTAACCTCTCTGAGTTTTTCTTAACTGGAAAACGGAGGCAATATACCCACCTCACAGTGTTGTAAGGTTTAAAAAGGTGCAAGCTGAGCAAAGTGGGAGGCATAGAGTAGGCACTCGACTTCTTTTAAGGGTGGGCAAGGACACAGGCGTGGCCCTCTGATCTGGGGAGAGGGAAAAGTCTGCTCTAAGGGGCATTGAGCTGTGGTGGCTGAGGCTGGAGCTGGGGGCGGAGGGTTTCTTGGGGAAAGGCAGCCCAGAAATGGCCACAAACCTTAGAGCCGCCCTTTCGAGGCCCCCGTCCCTGCCCTCCTGCCCTCAGCCCCCAGCTCCTTTCCTACCTGCTTTGTCCCTGGCCCTCCTAGCACCCGCCATGCGGCCACAGGCCACACACAGCCGGTGGCTACAGTGGGGGCATTTCCAGTGGGTGTTGAAGAGTCCGCGGTGGCAGCGGCTGCAGCAGCGTGGAACGCCTGGGTTGTCCTCTGTCCTGGCGGGCCCCTGGCCTGTTGACCACGGGAGAGAACAGGGTCAGAGGAGGCTCAAGCCACAGGTCCCTTCTGAGGACCTCCAGGCAGGGATGGAGCGGAGTGGGAGCGGTTTCCGCTGTGGGGCCACCCTGGACAGGAGACAGGCCCCGGACAAACAGGCTCTGTAAAGAACCTCCCCATGGCCCTGTCTTCAGAACACCCGCCCAGGGACAGTACAGGTCTCACCTCTCCAGGTCGTGCCCCAGGGATTTCCCCATGGGCCCTGAATTACAAATCCACACCATTTCCAACACAGTCCTCCCCCCACCTCCCTCCATCCCGAGGAGCTGTCCCTTCAGGGGACTCTGTATACCAGAAGAGGGAACCTTAGGAGGCCACTCCTTCCCTCACCCACACTTTCTGACTAAGCCCTCCTCGGTCAGTGGGAGGACGCCAGTGAGCATGCGTTCATTTACTCATGCTACAAACACCTTGCCCTGTGTGGGGCTGAGTGCTGGGGACTCAGAGCTGGTCAGGGCTCAGAGCTGCCCTCCCAGTGCTCACATTCCAAGAGGGGAGATGGGCCCATAAACACGGCAGTGATCATGACACCACAGGGTGGGTGCTGGAGTAGGAGAACGGGGTAGAAGGGCAAGGGTGGGGATAGTGGGGGCAGCGACACAAATGGGCCCCAAGTGATGAGTAAGTGTTCATTCATCGGGGAGAAAGGGAGGAGAAGGGCATTCCAGACAGAAGGAACAGAGAGTGCCAAGGCCCGAGGGGATGGACAAGCTGGGGTGAGCCGGGGAGGACGGGCCACCGGGTGATGTGGAGTGCTGGGAATCCAGGCTGAGGGAGTGGCAGGCTAGACTGGCTCGGGGCGGGGGGGGGGGGCGCTGGACTTTCTGGGACAAGAGGGAGCCACCAATGGGCCCCTACCCAGGTTGCAACCCTACTGCAGGGGTGTGTACACATTTTCAAATGCACACATGGGGTTGTGGGAGGGCCTAGTAGGGAGAGCCTGAAACCAGAGGGACCCGCTGAATGCCTGGCATCCCACCAGTCTTTTCGCATCGGCCCAGACCCTACTAGCCTCCTAGGGCCTATGAATCCCAAACTGCAGGGAGGGCCCCCACTTTCCAACGCCCTTGAAGACACTTGGCACCCTGTTTTGTTTCCCCAGCAAACCCAGAAACTCTTAAGCAGCTGGACTGGACCAGGTTTCACACCCTCCCAACATCCCTCGCCCCGGCAAGAGACGTCAGAACCCATGTCGACTAGGAGTCTAAGCCAGGAACAAGGGCAAAGCAGGCAGGAATTCTCCTGAGTTGGTATCAGGATGGACAGTGCTAATGGGAGGGACGGGCCCCAGGAGGGAGGGGCCCACACCCTGCAGGCCCCATGCTCCGCGTCAAAGCACTGTGACCACAAGATCCAGCCTTCCCTGGCTCCTGCCCGCGCCGTGGGTCCTGCTCACCTTCCCGCTGCGCCCAGGCCAGGGCTTCGCGCTCCCTCCGCAGCAGGCGGCATAGTCGGTCCCCCAAACCACTTAGCAGATGCTTGGCGAGGCCCTTGCTGAGCCGGGCCTCGGGGCCAGACCCTCCTCCCTCCTCCGAGCCAGCTGCTGAGTCTTCGTCCTGCAGCTGCTCCCCTCCCAGAGGCAATCTGGAGATAGGGCACAGGAAGGTAAGGAGGGAGCCCCGACTGGAAGGGTGCCGGGGGCATCCAGGGGCAACGGGCTCACCTCGGCACTTGCTGGGAGTGGCGGGCCAGCCCTCCCGCCTCTCCAGCTGCATGGGTACAGCTTTGGCATGGAGCCATGCCTGCCAGGGGAGCCGAACAAGATGTATCCTGAAGCCCTGGGTCCTGGAGGCTGGCCCTACCATCTTGGGGTCCTGAGGAGACAATGAAGCTGGTCAGGAGTCCGGGCTTCCCGAGCTTATGTGAACCCCAGGCCCTACCTTTAACCCCCAGCCCGCCCACATGCAGAGCCAGCCCAGCCCCTAGGCCCCGGTCTACGAAGCCTGATTTGGAGCTAGTGAAAGTGACCTAGGCAGCCAGAAACTTCACAGAATGGGCTGGGCGGAGAGCCTGGGAGTGCCCTGACAAGGCCTGATGGCCGAGGAGAGGTCCGCTGTGCGTGGCTGGAGCAGCTGGGACGATCACCCTGCCCCACATGCAAAATCCGGTTAGTGTAGACGTCCTTTTATCTTTTTTTTTTTTTTAAGTAAGCTCTATGCCCCAACACGGGGCTTGAACTCACAACCCTGAGATCGAGTTGCATGCTCCACCGACTGAGCCAGCCAGGCGCCCCTCAGTCAGTGCAGACTTTGGATAGCTCCGCAGTGGGCTTGGTGATCCCGCTGGCCTCCTGTCCGCGTGAGGAGACAATCCGGGCATGGGATGGAGGGTGCCGGAAGGTGAGAAGGCTGATAGTTTCAACACACGCTACAGGTGCAGTGACCCAAGAAGGGAGAGGGGCCAACAGCTTCCCAGCCCCGGCAGAGGCCTGCGAGAGCACGGACAGACCCACGCCAGGTGCAGGGGTGCCTGGGCGAGGCCACTGAGAGCTTCGATCCAGGCCCAGTGGTCCAGGAGGCTAAGAAACTGAAGTGACACTGAAGAGCTGAGACTGGGGCCAGCAGTGCTGGAATCACAGCGTGACAGAGGGTCCAGGATGCACCCAAAGTCCTACTACTGGCCAAGTCCAAACTGAGTTTCTATGATCCGGCTGGCCAAGGGAGGAGTTGTTCGTTCCTGGGGCGGGACACGGGGTCCTTCAGGAGGGGCGGTGCCCCAGACGGGGCTATGTGGCACAATCACAAAGATGAATGTTTACTGAGTGTGTACTCAATACAGTGCCACATATTCTTCAAAGCCCTTTATGTGAATTATGCCATTTCATCTTGCAGCGGTCTTTACGAGGTGGATGCCATCTTTATCTCCATTTTATAGATGAAGAAACTGAGGCCCAGAGAGGTGAAGTAACTAGCCCAGGGTCACAAAGCACTAGGCAGCAAAGTTCGGACCCAGGCACTCCGACTCCAGAGCCCATGCTCTGAACCGTGTTGTGACACTGCCACTGCCACATGACAGCTTGGGACAAGGGCCGACCTTGTCAGGGGAGGCAGAAGGAATAAGAAGCCACTTGCTGGCAGGCTCTGGCCTGTAGATGCTAAGAAACTCCCAGAGAACCATCACACCCGGGTGGGAACCCAGACCACTTGTGTGATCCACTCATAAAGGGCCTAACGACCCCACCTCCCCACAGAGCCCCAGTCCTGGCTGCCCCTCCCAGGCAGGGCCCCCTGCACCCTTACCTCTGTGGTCATCATGCTGCACGGCCTCTGCCTTGTTCCCAAATGATGAGTCCAGCATCTCCTGCCGACCTCTGGCCCCCTGCCCCGCACTGCCTGGGAAAGGGTTGGGCGGGCGCTTGGCAGCTGGGCTTCCACCCGCTCCCTGGACCTCAGGGCTGCTTGCCCTCTTGAGGGCCTGCAGCTGGGCAGAAGGGCTCTCCTCGTCCCCAGGGCAACCACCTGGACACCCAAACTGCTCAGAGTGTCGCGTGAGCCATGTCTTCTTTAGCTTGGTGTGATGGCTGGGTGGGCAGGCCCTGGGACCAGAGGCCTTGTTCACTTCCTCGTTGGATTCACTGGGCCCGATGGTGCCCCCCTCCTGGCACTTCCCACAGGGGCCAAGACCTCCATCTCTAGCAGGTGGGTGAGATGAGCAACAGCCTCCCTGGGTGGCAGGAGGCCCAGGAGTGGGGCACCTTGATGTGGCTGATGGCCCCAGATGGTACCCAAGGCTCCCACCCCCTGGTAGAGTCCAGACGTTGCCAAGAGTATGAACCAGGCCCGGGGGGCACGGGGGCCAGGGGGTCCGGGGAACAGAGTCCGGATGCCCCAGGAGGAACGGGCAAAGGTTCTGATGCCTGCCGACTCCTGCCTCTCCATCTCTCTGGTGGAATGAAGGATGCTCCACTTCCCCAGTTCTCTGGAGATGCCCACCAGAGGCTAAGCCTAACAACCCAGGTTCCGCAGTTGCCAATGGTTCCTTTGCCAGCCTGAGGATGCTTGGATCCTTGTGGTAAAAGCCCTAAAGAGAGGAGAAGGGGTAGAGCTCGTGCTGACTTTGATCCCCAGTGCTTCAAAGGATGAGCAGAACTGCCGACTGGCAGGTGTGCGCCTGTGTGGCCTTAAGGGTCAGGAAAACACTGAAGAACTCAATCCTGGTTTGCAGACCCTGCTCCCTAAGTGCCTCCCCACTGCCCAGCTTACCCCCTCCCCCCTCCCTCCCTGGGATTTCTGAGACCTCTGCACAAATCCAGCAACTATAGGGTTAGTGCTTGCCACCACCAAAGGGCCTCTGAGGATCTATTCAGATTGTTTGATGACAAGTATCATACTGATCTTAAAATAGTCTAAATCTTATTCCTGGGCATGGGGGTGGGTTGCCGGGGGTGGGGGTGGGAGGACAGGTGCCACAGACACAGGCCATGGGGACACCTGCACATCCCACTCCCAGAGAGAGGGCCTTGTCTGTCCCCCGACCCCAACCCCAAGACGAGACTAGTGTTCAGAGGCCGCAGTTCCCAGGGCCTTGTTCTGAGTGGACAATGAGTGAGTCAGTCCCTGAAATGGCCCAAAGTCAGGGAAGGCTCAGTGAGATGGAACGGCTCAGAGGAGGAATTGCTTGGGGCTGACTCTGTCTGAGCTGACAGGCTCCTCTACTAGGGTGTTGTCTTATGTTTTCGTCAGAACGGAAGAGCAGAGTGCTGTGGCCAGGCAGGGCCGCTCGGGAACACTGAGCGGCCTAAGCCCCAGGTACCCTCTCTGCTCCAACACTCACCTTGCTGCCTAAGCCGAAGGCAGAGGGCACTTTGGGCTGCCCCCCTGAGTACACCCAGGGGTGTGGGGCCAGGGGCCAGTCACATGGACGCTCTGGAGGCAGGCTGGACACTAGGTAGGGTGGCAAGCAGGTGGGCACCCAGAAGGGAGCTTGCTCGAGGATCTTGGTCTCCAGAAGGAAGGGGCAGTGCAAGGGCCGGAAGGCCACAGGGTCACTCTTGGGATGGCCACCATTATTATGCTCAGGAATCAGGGGGCCATAGCGAGGCTGGCACGCTGAGCCACAGAGTGCCAATGGGTGGGTAAGCATTGCCTCCTTCCAGCGCAGCCCCTCCTTGCTACCCAGCCAGTTGGCCTTCCTCTCCCCATTGCGGGGGCCTTCTCCCTCCACCTGTGGGAGCGTGTCCTTGGGGCTCTGGGGAATGCCAGGGGGAAGCCAGGAGTCTGGGGTGCTTAGGACACCCCTCCAAAAGGGAGCAGGCTCTCCCAGGCACAGTGCGCCCCGGCGCAGACCATCTCGAGGCAGGGTATCCGGCTCCTGTCCCAGGATGCCCTTCTCAGGGGCTGTCTTCTCCCAGGCTGGGGTGTCCTTCAGGAAGCTGGGCGTACTCTCCATCACTCTCCTGCCCTCATGGGGCTCTCCCAGAGGGGGTCCCTGGAGCATAACCAACAACGCATGAGCTTCTTAGGCACGTGCCCCAAGCACCGTACCGCCTGGGGCAGAGCTGGGCACCGCCCTGGCAACACCAAGGCAGCTCAAACCAGTAAGGCAAGTGCCAACCTACAGCTAGGCTCCACGCTGCCTGCCCACATGCAACTCGAAGGACCTGCCTGGGTGGGATGCTCAAGTGGGGGGAGGTCAGCCCTTACCCCAAATGCCCAAGCCCACCTGGGCCAGAGCCCCTCAGCAGAGACCACCATTTCTAGGATGACATGTCCTTGCATTTGCTGAGCCTGGACCCTGGGCACGAGCCACGGGGCAGGGAAAGGGGCGAGAACCCAAAAGATGAGGTTGGTGGAAGATACTGCACTAGGGGACAAGAAGACAGCGTCCTGGCTTTGACTCAGCACCTGCTATGTGACCTTGGGCAAGTCATATCACTCCTCTGGGCCTCAGTGTGCCCTTGTGTAAAATCGGGTTTGGAAATTAGCAGTCTCAGAGGCCTCTTTCCACATTGCAGTCTGTGGGACCGGGGGTGGTGCTTGCCTACCCCCACCCCTCAGCCCCACTCAAGCCTGTAGGGGTGCAGGCAGGGTAGGCTGGAGTCACTGGGGAGAGCCGCCAAGGCAGGGCTGCTGGCTGGTATCTCTCCCTACACTTGGGCAGTCCCTGGTGTGTCTCTTCCCAGCTCTCTGTGGTTTCATGGCTTTGGAAGCAGAGTCCCAGGACAACTGCTGGGGGCTGAGATCTCCACCGCAGCCCCCAAGGGAAGGAGCGAGCCGGCACAGGAGAGAGGGATTAAGAGGCCTCAGCTGGGAACGGGTCAAGCTGCTCGAGTCCAGCAGGCAGTGCCAGGGCCGCCGGCGGCCGCTGGTAACTGCAGCCTGGCAGGGGGAGGGAAGGAGGCGGGGAAAGCAGGCTGGGCCCCAGAGAGAGGCAAAGGAGGGAAAATTGAACGTGCGTGCAAAGGACCAGGGTGACAGGTGGCACCGGAGCCGCAGCGCTCCCCCAGCGCGGCCCCCTCGGCGGGCTGGATGAAGCCCCAAGAGAGGAGGGAGGTAGCCCAGGGAGCCGTGACAGAGGTCGCTCGGGTTTTCTGGGGCCACAGCTCCGTCGTGGTCCAGCCCCGTCGGGCATCCTAACTTTCAGACCTGTGGCGCCGTCCGGAGAAGCACAGGGAACTCACTCGCTGCCGGCGGCCCGGGCTCGGCTCACAAACGCCCCGCTACGAATGTCCCCAGAAGGCCCGCCCCTGGCGCCCCCTCTCGGCGCTTACCTGGGCTTCGCGAGCCGGGCGCGGCGCGGGCGGCGGCGGTCGTCGTGGCCGGCGCCGGGCGCCCGCTCCCCATGGGCCGGCTCCGGGGCCTCCCGGCCGGCGAGCGAGGACGCGTTCTCCCGCTCTCTGCTCAGCGCGCTCGCGTTCTCTTTCCCCCGGGGCGGCGGGGGCGCTCTAGGGCCGCAGGTTGGAGGGGTCGGATTCCGGGATCTGCAGGATGCGGCACACGGCGCGGATCGGCCGCACCAGCTTCTGGGCCGAGGCCGTGGGTTGCGCCATGGGACGCCGAGACTCCGTGCTGCGCCGCGGGGAGGGCCGGGCCGGGCCTAGGGAGCGGGTGCCCCCGGAGGGAGAGTGGGAGCCGGGCCGGGGGGAACGTGCGCCCCGGGTCGGAGATGGCCGAGTAGGGGTGGGGGGAAAGGCCGAGAGGCCGGGGGAGGGGATCGTGCCTGGAAGTGGGGGCCGATCCCGGGTCCCAGGAGAGAGGCACCGGCGAGGGCGCAGCACGGCGCAGAGCGGCTAATGGAGGGAGAGCGCGGCGGACAGCGCAGCAGGACCTCTCATCGCCATCGCCAGACGCGCAACTGAGAGTGGGGAAGCTGCTCCGCCGGTTTCCTCCTCCAGCACCCTGCGGGAAACAGGAGCCCGTGATTCGGCGGCCCCGCCCGGGCCTGCCCCCTCCCGGGCCCCGGGGGCTTCCGCCAACGCCCCGGCGATGCCACCGGCTGCGCACGGGGAGAATGAGCCCTTTGTTCCCCCCTCCCCCCCCCGCGGCACCCGGGCGCCTGCCGAGAGAGGCTCCCCCGGGGCAGCGTGCCAGCTTCCCAGCCGCCCCACCCTCCCGTGGGCCCGGCCCCGGAGCCTGGCAGGCGGGCAGCACCCCCACTATAGGTGCCAAGCCCGGGAACTGGAGCAAAGGGCGGGAGGGGCCGGACCGGGCCATGGTGGGGCGGGGTGCCCCCCGGGGTGTTAGGGCGGGGCGGCTGGGGGGGGGCAGTGCCAGAGCTGGCAGGGGCAGTCGGGTTCTCACGGGTCAGTGATGGGCGCCTGACCCACGCCAGCCGACCCTGTGCCTCCCGGAACACTTGCTCGTGGTCCTTCAGCTCTGGCACATGGCACCCCCCCTCCCCCACTGGCCCATGTCTGCCCTGCCTCATCCTGACCTGGCCAGGCTGCTCTTCACCATTCTTGACTCAAGCCCCCTTCCGGGGCCCAACAGCCGGCACTGGGTCCTGCCTTAGCAGTTCTGGGGAGACCTAGGCTCTAGTCTGTCCCTACTCTAAGGGCCTAGGTTTCAGCAAGTGTCCAGAGAGGAGGTGGGCCCAGATGAGGCCAGACACCTGCTCCGGCCTGGCATTCTGGGGGTCTGCCCCATCCCAATTCCTAGTGCTTCCAGGCCCAGCACTGGAGAGGAGCCCATGGGAGTGGCTCCTGGGAGGGAGCAGAGAGGAGGAGAGGAAATGGGAAAGCAGGGCACCCTCCACCCGAGGAAGCATCCCGGCTCCTCTGCGGGGGTGGTTCCAGAGCACAGACACAAACAGACAGATTCAAACACACACAGACAGATTCAGACACACATAGAAACCCACACGCCCAACGGGCGCTTCCCTTCCCTGCAGGCCCCCACCTCCCACCCCACAACTCCCCTTCCTCCCTCTGGAAGCCATCCTTGGCCTGCTTTCACCCAGCCTGGGACAGAGGCAGTACCATCCCACCCACCACCATCCCATCGAAGGGATGAGTTCTCCGATGCCTCCAGCCTGGTCCCAAGTCACCACCCCTCTGCCATCCCTGGAGAGGGGAGCCAGGAAGAGCTGGGAGGGAGCCTTTTCCCAAGAGACTGAAAGAGAGGCAGGAATCATTTTACCAGCTGAGGAGAAGAGGGGGCTCAAGAGAAGGAGGCCCGAAGGGGCGCCGGGCAGGACTTGGCTCATGTCTGCACCTACTCGCTCAGCCCCTCCGCCTCCCCCCAGAGGCCGCGCGTCTGTGGCAGGACAGGCTGGTAGGCGCTGTTTACATGACTGAGTTATTAACACTGCCTTCCTCCCCCAGCTCCCCTGAGGGGTGGCCTGGACCTCAGTGTGCCAGGGGAAATGATCGTGGAGGGTCTAATGTAGACTGCAATGCCAAGGTCCCAGGCCCCAGACCCCCCCCCCCCCGCAACGAGGCTGGCTGCAGGGTGCAGATAGGGAGCTGGGGTGTGCCTGTGGTCCCCCATCTGTGTCCTCTGGCAGCTGAAGCTTGTGGGAGAGTCTGGGGGGAGATTCCTTCAGCTTAAGGCCTAGAAGAGGCTGGGTAGGGCAGGGTGGGAGCCTGGGTTGTCCTGGGCACTGAGGGCCTGTCACTGTCATCCTCAAGGAGACGGGGACTGTGCCAGGGAAGCAGGACAGACATCTCCCCACATCTCACCCCCAGTTGCCATGTCTGCTTTGTCAGGTCACAGTCTCTGGACAGGAACAGGACTCTCAGGACAGGCTCCTGAAATGCCCAGGGGGCCATGGGGGTTGGGGGAGAAGGCCCTTTCCACCCTCACCGGCTCCCCATCCTGCTCCACAGCCCATGCCATGGGCCCACAGAGCCCTTGTAGCTGGCTGTTCTGTGCCTGAGGACGCAGCAGATCGAAGGAGACGCAAAAGATACAAACACAGAAGGAAAGCCACACACGGGTGGACACAATGCTGGATTCATGGACAAAGGCAAGCTGACCAGCACCCCCAGAAGCGCCTGGGCTCACACCGACCCCTCACCCGCGCATGCACACACACACACACACACACTGATACCCACATTCATGCTGACAAGCGCAGCAGCACTCACGAGCCAGCTACCCTCACGCTGTCCCCAGAGCCCCTTACCTGGGCAAGCACAGTGCCCCTCGGGTGGACAGCCCCCTGCCCTGGGGAGGGCAGCAGGCGGGGGCGGGGGGGAAGGATCCGGAGAGGCAGGCCAAGCTGCCACTAATGGGGGCGGGGGGCGGGGGGGGGGGGGGGGGCCCGCGGGGGGGGGCGCGGCCAGCCCCCCACTAACCGGGGGGGGGGGGGGGGGGGGGGGGGGCACCCACGTCAGAGCGGGGACTGCCGGGTGGAGGGCATCTGAGGACATCCCCTCCCACACACGCGGCCGTCTGGGCACCTAGCCCTACTTCCCCAGCCCCTCCATCCTTCAGACAGCTGAGGCTGGCCTCCCCCCACCCCGCCCCCCACCCTTGTGGCAACGTCTGGACGGGCGGGGGGGGGGGGGGGAGGGGGAATACCGGGGAGAATTCTCCCAGGACCTGGGGTAAGGGGGAGAGGAAGGGAAGTGTTGGAGATGCTTTTGGAGCCAGGAGGAAGCTCTGGAGCAGATGCTCCCCTCCCCTCGTGCCCACCCACCCACATCCCTGACCTAATTCCTCTTCTCAGTCCGCACCTCCCCAGTGCCCCTCCTCCCTCCCCCCACCTCCCCTCCCCTGCAGTCTAACCACCCCGGTAGAGAAAGCTACCTCATTCTGCCCCAGGCTTAGGACCTTCTGCCTAGCAACCCAGCTCTGGCCCCCAGGATTTCCTGAGTAGCAGGCATCATCCTCCTGCTGGGGTTTCTGCCCCGTACCCAGCTCTTGGGTATCCCGGCCATTCCAATGTTTATCGGGGACAAGGGGTAAGAGCCTGGGGTGCTCTTGTCGACCCCCTCATGGGCAGGG